CTCTTATAGATTCTAGTTCCATTAATGGGCCTACTTGGTGTAGACAAGAGGAGATTTTGTTTTGGGTTTTTTTTTTTTTTTTTCCCCCCCCCCCCCCCCCCCCCCTTTTGTAATTTGATTGATAAGAGGTAATTCTTCAACTCAGCCTTCACTCTTGATGCTGCAGCGTTGTGCTTACTAGGGAAAGCTGCAAGTAATGAATGCACATTGCATTCAGCTGTCAGAAATAGCTTCCCATCTGTCCATTTGTGGCACAAAATTAGAAAGTGGTCCTTCCAGTATGCAACTCTGCCCTGCATTTCCCCCAACCAAGTTATTCAGTACGTAAGTTGTCAATTTTGGCATCTTCTCTTTCTGGCCAACAAAATATGCGTGAAAAAATAACTGCCTGCAGGCCATAGAACTGTAGCTGCAAGTCATGATCAAAAGCTGACCTTCCTGGTCTTTTCACAACTTTCTTGCCAAACTCTTTGGCTTCACTGGATCTCAGTTCTCTATGGGAGAAGGAGCTTATTAAAAGCCACACAGAAACATTAGCTAACAAGGGCAGAATAGCCTTTCCTACCCTCAACAAAACCCTTGGGAGGTTTTGTTAATCCCTCCAAGCTGCAACTAGCATTACTGCATTTTATGTGCTCCTGCTGTAAGGCAGCCCCTTGTAGGTCATAAATCACCATAAGTGTCATCACAGAACAACCTTGCTGGCCCTGTTATTGTTATTAGGTCTAGAAAGATGAGTTGCTGACCTTTACTGAGCGCTATTTCTGTTGACTGCTAAAAACCTTCAGAGCAGATTTGGATGTTCGTTAGTTGTGTGAGCCAGGTTCTTTAACTGCCTGTGAGCTTTCTGAATCTTAGGAAATCTTCAAAGATCTCTCAAAGGAGAGCCTAGTTTACTCTGCATGTACTCGAAAGAAAGGTAAGCTTCAGGTCCTGACTACTGGTACAAAGTACTACTGGTTAATTCCATTGACACAGCTTCTGGTTTGCACACAGCAGGAAAGCAAGCTCCCATGTAGAAAGAGGCATACTGCTGTTGCCCGTGACACAGACTGCCCACTGTTAGTGTGGGCAGCCTAGTGCTGCTCTATGCCACGGAGAAGCTCATTAGGAATGCAGTAGCAGGGTGGGAACTTAGGTGGAACTTGTATATTCCAAAAATTTTGGGATAATGCTTGTCAAATGCCTGCTATTCTGCTGTGCATCTCTTATCAGATGGGGTGAGCTGAGTGCTGTGGAAAATAAAAGGTACTGTGCTTTGTAAGCATTGTAAGGTGCTGTGCTTGCTGAAGCAGGTGCTAAAGAGGAGATGTGAATAAAGGACTGGTTTGTGTGAAGTGACTGTAGAATTTTTCCACTTCTTCTGTAATAGAGCACTTTGAGACAGGTGCTGACAAAAAATGTCCTATTGCTGAGGCCTTCCCCCTTGGTTGGCAGTCTTGTGTAAGCTGGAGCTAGCCCAGAGTATCAAATTGCTTTATGCCATGAAAAGCTAGAACTCTGATCTGGAAAGAATTGGAACTGCCTGTGGAACGCTGTCAGACACATGATCGCATAGTGATTGCTAAGGAGAGGATGACCAGGTCTCAGATACCCGAGATCAATATTGAGAAAACAAAGTTTGCAGCCATGGCAGCAACCGTTGTCTCTTAAATGTTACCCTTTACAGGGCTTGGCATCCTTAGGTGTAAGGGAGACTGTTAGTCCTTCTTGTGGTGAGTGAACAGGGCCAAAGGAGCTGAATACCTTGCACAAGTCAGGGAATGGCTGCTCCTGTTGCTGCCTTTGGGTGCGTGGGAGCGACATACATCTGCAGACACGTGCCTCGTGTGTACGCTCTGTTACCTTCTGCCACTGTGATTTCAGTGTTACGGTAATTCCTGGTGCAAGCAAGAACGACACAGAAAAGCTGCCTGTCAGTTATAAGAAACAACTGAGGCTTTTTGGCTGTTAGTCTGCTCGGAGTGATTATTATCTTTGGCTGTTTTCAATAAGCTTTGCAAATTAGAACTAATGACCAAGATGAGTCACTAAGAACATAACTCATGTTTTATATTTAGAAGGTTTATCCTTTCTCAGTTGCTAAAAAACTGTAGTTTCACATGCAATCAGGCTGTGAAACTTCATCTGAGCAGTGATTGTACCCATGCACTCAAATAATCCCATTTCAGAATCGGCTTTTAATATTTAAACTATCAAAAATCTTTCTACATCTAAGACACCTCTTTAAATCCTTGTTGCATAACTTCCAGTGGATTGCTTAGCTTTTAGATTAGTACATCTCAGTAAGTTGTTTTTTTCTCAAGGTCTGAAATGAGTATGCTTTAACACAAGTCTAGAAAGAACTTATTATCAGGGGAGGACTTCCCAGCTCATGGTTTGGCTTCTGAATATACATGGGTAGACCCACCTATATTATACATGCATGTGTCTTTGTATGGAGAAATGTAGGGAAGCAAACAGAGTTTTTTTTAATGAAATGACACGTTGCTGCCATTATAGGATAGTTTTCCTTTTTGTTTTGTAGCACTCCAGATTGATTCTAAAAAGTGATAACCACAAGTGCTTGGGGAACTATTGAAACACCATGAACAGAAATGCACCCATTGATCTTGGTTTTTGGATTGTGGTTCAGACCTGAAAAGAGGTCCTTAAGTGCCTGTACTTCAAAAGAAATCTTATTTCCCAATAGAGTTTTACTGAAGAAGGAAAAACATCAAATATTGAGACAGAGAACCTAGTGGGATTTGGGCATCAAAATATTCTAAATCTCTCAGTTTAAGCTCTGAGAATCATTATCTTTCCATCTTTGAATCACTAGTTTGGGCTTCACTTGTGCATTTTACATCCAGTAACTCCTTTGAGAGGCTTTGGGAGAGTGACATATTCCTATGCTCTGTCCACCTGCAAGAGCTCCAAAGAAGCTTTCAAAGGGAACAGAAAGGTGGGTGTGCTTTCAGACTATTGAAGTATAAAGCTAGCTCCTTGTTTGTGACAGGACAGAAAGACAGATGGAAAGTTGTACTTAAATTTTTTGTGAGATGAGGATGTACATTAACCGTTAGTATTGTTACATGTACTGCAAATTGTTCTAAATGCATGAATGAGAGGCAGCTTTAAGAACACTGGGGGTTTGTGATTTCTCTATGGTTGCTGAGTCTGTAAACAGTGAAACAGTTTGATTTGCTTGGCTCTGCTAGACCTAGCTGAGAATAGGTTGGAAATTTTCTTTCAAAGCACCTTTTGTCAGAAAACTGAAATGTCTACTAGATAATTGTTCTGTGAAAAAGTAAACGTTTTCTTTAGAAATTGAAAAAATTGTAAAAATGGAAATATTTACTATCTAGGGAAGAGTATATTGCAAAGAATTACACTATTAGTACCATTAGCTAATAGCTGTGAGCTGTCAACAGTAATAACCACACACATGCACACATATGTCCCCCTGATTCTTAAGATTTTCTATAGCCTTCTGAGTTTAGATTCTTGTAGAGAACTTTCTCACACAACTTTCTGCAAACAACCAATTGTTTTGCATTCCTTCATAGAGGCGCAGAAATTTGATGTACTGGCAGTTTGTCCAGTGTCATTGGAGAGGTGGCACGTTCACCCTCCAATCCACTGTCACCTTTGGAAAACTATAAATGTTGGAGTCAGAAGTAAAACTTCCTCTTTTTTACCTTTGCAATAGCAGTGGCTCGCATCATGCTTTCACATGTATAGTGACACACATGCATATTGTTTTTAGATAAGGTTGCATATGGTAAGAAATTGCCTGTGAGGTAATGGTAATTGAATTTTGTCATTATTACTTTAGGGTTTCACAAATATTTCCCTGCAAATTCTAGATTTACAAGCTTAGCTATCTGCTGCTGTAAGGGAGCTACTATTGACAACTATTAAATGGTACCAAAGAAGTTGTAGCTACCTGACATAAAGTGCTGATGCGTATAGGCTACCTGATGATGCAAATTTGCTTAAAATATTTCTCAGATTCCCTTTTTCTGTGAGGTTTTTTCTCTTGTGCTGCAGTAAAGAATACGCCTGAAAATGTCCTGCATAGCGGCTCTAGCTAGCTTGACAGAAATGTGTCGCATCCACCACGCACACAGATTGGATCTGCTGGACAACTTGGCAGCTCAATACTAATGCCCATCGAATTACAGCCTACTGTGGGAAACGTGTGTGAACATGCCGGTTACAAGTTTCTGCCCAGAAAGCGCAGAAATCTGGCAGTTTGTCTAAGGGTGTATGTGCGCTCATTTCCATCTCTATGCCTTCAAAGACCGTCGTCTTCTCCCTTTTGCCTCCGTGTTCCCCTGTGCATACTTTCACATCGTCATCGTCCAAGCAACCCGGGAAAGATCTGGCACTAACCCCTCGTTCTGTCTCTCTCCGATTCCTTCCCGACCCACATCTCCCACTTCTTCCTCCCCCCAGGCCGGCGCTGCCGCCCGATCGGAGCCGTCTCGCTCCCGCGCACAACCCATCGCGACCGACCCCGTCGGGCCCTAAAGTCCCCGGGCAGCTGTGACCGAGCCCGAGGCCCCGCCCCTTCCCCTCGCTTGTTCCACCGTTGCCTGCCGAAATTCCATCTCCCCCTGGAAGGAGTGCACGCTGAGCGGGGCAGGCAGGGCTGCCGTGCGGCGGCTGCCCCGCCGAGCTCCAGCGCCGCAGCAGAACGGGCCGTGCCCGCGGCGCCGGGGGCTGGGCTTAGGGCCGGGCTAGGGGCCGGGGAGGCACGGGGAGGGCCCAAAGACGAGAGGCGACGGGGAAGGGGGAGGCAGTCCGGCGTCTGCATTTAGCCGCTCCTGGCCCTCCTGCGTCCCTGCCCGCGCAGCCTGCCGTGAGCGGACACCATGGCCGGCGAGATCGAGCATCTGAACAGTCGGGAGGCGCAGACTGTCTGCGACGGCCTGGAACGCTACGAGGACACGCTACGGGGCGCCGTCCGGGACATCCATGTGGACATCCAGCTGTTCAAGCAGGGAGTAGGCCGGCAGGTGGAGGAGGTGCTGCGCCTCGCCAGCCCCCTGGCACAAGCAGTCTCTGAGCTGCAGCAGGAGAACCGGCGCCTGCGGGTGCAGCTGGAGCGCCTGTCCCGGCAGGTGGAGGCCCTGGGCAGGTCGGCGGGGCTGCCGCAGGAGTGGGTGTGCGAGACAGCGGAGAGCCCTCAGGTCGTGGGGCCCGGCTCGCCGGCGCAAGGTTCGGCCGACGGCGCGTTCTCCGGTCGTGCCAAGCTCACGGTCGCTGGCCGGAGCCAAGTAAGCGGCCAGCGAGACGGCAGGAGGGAGGGCCAAGGGTATGCATGAAGGGATGCTTCACGGGTGTTGCCAGATTGCACGGGATAATGTTTAGGGACACGGAGTTCCTCTTCTGCGGCATGGGGTCAGTGGTATTTTGGGAGGTGCTCTGAGAAATGGTCTTGGCTGTGATACCACCTGGCGATATACCTGATCATGGCCCTCTTTGTTCAGACTGGGATCTTGGTTAGAGTGGTAGCAACCTGTCAGTTCCCTGTGGTTAGAAATAAGAGGAGATGGGGAGATGGGGAAGTCTAGGCTATCAATGTACGTGTGTATGCGAGTAATTTTGTATCCTTTTTGGACTCGATTCTGGGGGATCCGTGTGCCACCGATGCTGTTTGGCAGTTGGCAAGCTTGCAAAGGGGAGTAACTTAGCATATAGCAGGCAGTGGTTTCCCTAGGATGACATCCCACAGTGAGTCAGTTTTGCTGTCCAGCCACTGTACCTCACCGCTTCAGCTCATCCCTGAGAGGTTGACACAAGCTTTTGTGGTCTCCGTGACTTAAACTTGTACAAACATAGTTATTCCTCCCAGTGATAAAACTTTCTGCAGTGCAATGGAACATTGTAACTTGGTGCACAGAAATCCCATTAGTGGAAAGCTCATCTGGTACTGAGATGTTTTGTGTAATCTTTTGTCTGGGTCTGTCTCTGTAATAAGAATTGAGAGCTCCCGTGCCATCTGTAACACCAGGAGAGTGCAACCAGTTGGTACGCTGTGATTTGGACACATAAAACTGGGCTACTAGAGACTTGGCTTTCACAGATGACAGCCTGTTTCATGTCCTCTTGGTTAAGCATGTCTTAAAGGGGTTTTAAGACTGTTGGAGCTTTAAAAAGCTGGTCTGTGGTCTATTCAGGCTTGGGGTTAAAGAAGAAAAGCTTGGAAGTTAAATTCACTAGAATTGGTGGGAATGAGTAGAGGCTGTATTGCATGCCAGCCCTCTTACTTCCTACTGACCTGTGAATGGGGGCATTGGGCTTCCTACATCTGGGCAAATGGAAAGGAAAAACTGCTGTTTGATACATTCTAGCAACTGCTGCCTTTCTCCCCATGTGACAAAGATAAGCAGCATCCATGCAACTTCCATACTTCTTCCTTTTTGTTCTGCGGAGCTATCCACACTTGCTTGTATTGCAAGGGATTGAAGTAAGCCGAGTGATATGGAAGGGACAAGGGACTATGGTCCCTCACTCCATCACCACTGCCTGCACTGTGGTGTGTACTTAAACAGTCTGTGAACACAGAGTCTTGCATCAATGTTATGGCCAATAACCAGCTTTAGGTATCGGTCTGTGTTAAGCACAGTATGAGCTTTTGTTTGGATGGGAACCTTCCTGCTTTGCTTTGAGGGTTCAAGGAAGATCACTTAAGTGCTGATCGTTCTTCAGTGCCCTCCCAACAATTTAGGCTGGAGAAGTTCCCAAGTTAGCAGAGCTGACCGAAAGGGAATTTCAGTACTGAGAAGTATGGGAAGTGCAGCTACAGCTATACACACCAAATGTGTGCAGTGAAAACATGAGTTTGTGGGTCAGGTTCTGATGTGGCTACATGCAAATGGCAAAAGACCAAGATTTGATTGCTGAGACAGTTGCTCAGATTCTCTGTAATGAACACTGTTCCTTCGGTTGATTCCAATTTCTGGTTATATGACTGAAGCATTTGAAAAAGAATACCATAAATGGCACTGTGTATGTTTCAGATACACGAGCACCTATAATAAAACTGATGACACTTCTAGTCTTAGTAAATACTTCTAATAATGCGAGACATGAAAAGCAAATAATACTGACCTGGAAATAATAGCAAATCAAGATGTAAATCTTGGTTTGCAAATCTTTTGCAAATCTTTTGCTCCTGAAAAGATTTATTGATTGAGTTCCTTTTTACTGTGCGATCGATGCAGCATTAATTGGATACCAGAGATTCTGAGCATCTTTGGCATCCGAGCCATTCTTTTCTAATATTGCTAGATTATTTTTCATGGTAATTTAATTAGGGAAAAAAAAATTAATCCAGGGAATTCCAAGCATAGTTCAGAAGCAAGGACACAAATCTCCTTTTAATTCTAATCTGGGCAATTTCTCCTATGATGTCTTTGAAAGCTGATACAGAACAGTCTAAATGATGGTTTAGGTGGAATTTTAAATGGCTGTTAGCCACTCTGATTCAGAGGTCAGTCTTACTCTTATTTTGATATCAGACTGCAACTCAGCTCTCTTAACCATGCCAGAGTCTTGAGAGCTGCTTTCACAAAGGTGGAAAATAGGGGATATTTGAAGAGTTAATTTCAAAGATCTGGATCCTAGAGCCATACTTGTGCTACTGAGCATTTACAAAGGAAGAGTTTTGATCTTTTTTCTTGTTGGTCTGATTTTACATTTTGGCAGGAGCTTCATAACTTACGATATTTCCATAGTTTTTGTGATTGAGCATGATGCCTTTATTAAGCAGGAGGACTAAAAGTACTTTACAGGTGTCCTGTTTTAAAACTATCAGAAGAGTTTCTGTGTAACGTGGACAGATGGCTGCAGAGAATCTGCCTGCAGTGGTCAAAGCTGCAGCGAGATAGATAGCTGGCTATGACCACCTATGAAAGTCTAAACAAGTATTACCCATTGGGATCTCTCCCTGATGACCTAATGGCAGCCAGCACTTAGTCAGCCTGTGAGTAATTACATAAGACACAACTTGGGTGTATATAATGACCTACGTATTTCCAGAAAAGATGAGCTGAGAGAACTGGGGCTATTCAGCCTGGAGAAGACTTCAGAGAGACCTCATTGTGGCCTTCGAATATTTTAGGGGGCTTACAAAAAGGGAGGGTGAGTGATTTGTTTTTGTACGGGCAGATAGCAACAGGACAAGGGACAATGGTTTTAAAACATTGAAAGAGGGCGGGTTTAGATTAGACGTTAGGAAGAAACCGTTCACTCAGGTGGTGGAGCACAGGTTGCCCAGGGAAGTTGTGGATGCCCCATCCCCATCAGTCTTTGAGGCTAGGCTGGATGGGCTCCTGAGCAACCTGATCTAATGCATGGAATCCCTGCACATCTGAAGGTGTTGAAACACGATGATCTTTATGATCCCTTCCAGCCCAAACCATTTTATGGTTCTATAATGACAGTGAGATTACATAATTAATAGAGCATGACATACTCTATTTCCAAACTATCTTAACTCCTATTTTTGAAAAAGGAAGTCTGTTGATTTAACTTCTTTATTATTCTCTTATACCTCCTCCAAGTGTCCTTTTGGAATGGTGACACTTCAAGGTTGCCTTGATCCTTCCCTAGATTATTTTTGTTGTTGTTTGTTTTGTTTTAGTTCACTGTGGTATAGCCACAGGCACCTGCTGAAGCTGCTAAGGAAGAATTGTTCCCTCCTATCCATTTATATCCAGGCTTACTTCAAAAAAGGTTCTATGAGAAGTACTCCTATTGTTTTTATTCAGTGCAGTAGCTTTTCTAATATGTCCATGGTGTTCAAGGCTTTTTCTTCATATAGCAGGGTTAATTACAGATAGAGAATACTTGTACTGTCTTATGGACAATGGCTTTCTAGTAGTAGATTTAAGGGGTAAGTGTGGTGCACCTCTTGCTGGTGTCTATCTGGCTTGTTTGCATTTCCTCAAATCCTCATTATTCCCAATATCTGATATATTAGTGATCTCTATATATGCAAGAAACAGAGTGTGAAACCTTATCTTTGTGGCAGTCAGTGGTGACATTACTGTTCATCACAGTGAAGCAACAATTTCACCTGTCATATGTAAGAAGAAGATGTCCTTCTCCTAGATAAACAGCATTTCTAGAACCAGTGATTTGTATTGTGACCCTTGTGGTAGTTGGTAGTTTTATGAAAGACACTAAATGACTGAAATCTATCACTTGAGTGAGAGTAATATCATTTGTGTCTGTCATTCTTCTAGAATTTTACCCTGTTCCAGACAAAATCTTGAAGATGTAACAGACATGCACCTTAGATGTTCAGCGAGCAAATAACAATTGTATTTCTTTTTTTTTTCCTAATCTTCTCAACTGGTGCTTATTTTTTCTGAATGCATTGAATTTTACTGGCTTGCGATAATTGCAGCTTCTGGTTATGGATCTCCAAAGTGTAACTACTTTGCAGCAAAGGAGGAATTCCAGCAGCCCTATAACTATGTAAAGTATTATCATCCTCCATTACATGGAGACCTCTGAGCTGCACAGAGATTAGTTCTACAAGCAAGCTTGGATAAGGCATCCACAATATTAGTGTTAACTTTCTTTTCTTCAAATTCATCAGTTGTTCATTGTGTTGTTGTCATAAGAGTTGTGTACTTCTTATTATTAAGAACAGATATGTGTAGTTATCCCTCTGCTATTCATAATCTATGTAAGCAATGACAGAAGTAATATTGTAAACACATGTGTGTGTCAGAACCTTGGCATCTCCAAAGTGGATTTTGAAAGTACTTCAGCCTGACACTACTAAATGCACATCAGAATCTGATCTCAAATCCTCCCACTGTTCTGTCAGCACATGGGCCTTCTTCCCCATCCTCCAGCCTGGTATCAGTTTCTTCTTTGGCACTGTTAGCCAAACTGTAGCAGCCAGGTTTGCATGAAGTAAGGTAATGCAGCACTTGACATTGCATTAGAAAGCCAGTTCAGTGTGTAGAATGCTATATGACCTTTGCAACGATCATGTCATTTGATGATTTTACTCACCCACACTTCCCCAGCTTATAAAAGTAGATTCATGTTTATGGTCTACACAGGCGTTCTTCACATTCAGGTCATAATGACTGACATGAATGGCTAAGTAGTTCTAACTGTGTATCATGGGTACATTCTAGGGAGCTGCATTAGCTATGCTTTACATTTCATTTCTGGATGTGGACAATAATTGTTGACTGGGATCTCAATTGCATTAAGTGCAGCAATAAAAGTTCTGAAACCCCGATTCTGTGTGGTTTCTAGAATTAATATTTATTTAATTGGTATTTTTCTCAATCCTGGCAGCTAGTGATAACCGAGTTTAGTCATGTACAGTACCTTTTTCAAAAGTTTCAAAATAGGGGTTTTTCCCCAGAAATTAAAACATCTGCATACAACTACACAATCAATGAATGTTTTTGTGGACTGTGTGTTGGGGAATTTCTACTACTTGTAGCTACTGCTTCTTTTTGGAAACTTAACTGCAGTAATCATGTATCCGTGAGGCAGTTTCTTCTTCCTTTAGTTACACAGCCAAAAATCACATGGTTTCTCACAGTTTAACATGCCCCTTCACCCCCCCAAAAAAACCCAGCCCAACCAGCCAAAAAAACCCAATCAAACAAACAAACAAACTCCACAACCGCCTACTAAACTCACAAAAAAATTCCTGGCTGATTTGTTTGGAATTATATTGACAGCCATTATGAGGTGAATTTATGCTTTTGCCAGAAAAAGACTATCCTTACAGAAGTTACAGATTATAAAATAGCTGTAGTGTCCTAGGATTTAATTTACTTTGTAATGCCTGTACAATATGTTTTTATACTGTAATTTCTTTCTGCAGCAAATAGAAAAAAATGTACAGCATTATTCCATGCAATCTCAATCGATTTCTCTACTGTTACATCAAGTCTTCTGTTTATTACCATTTCAGTGGATGGTGATACCTTTATCTAACAGAAGATAACACCTCCTAGGTGCTTGGGGTCCGTTAAGGACATGTGTGTGAAGATTGATTTAGGTTATGTATTGCCAATGCTTCATTTGCAGGCTTGGCTCCTGGGGTTAGGTAATTGTTCCTTTCTTATTCTGTGGTCATTTGCACAAGGAAGACCTGCTCTTGGCAGGTGTTTCTGTATATTCTTCTCACTTTTGCTACTGTTTGAAATTTAGCTGTCATGTCTGTTGTCTGTTCTGACAGAGCGTAGACCTGGATGACCACCAGAAACCTGAGTTTAGAAGAGTTTTTAGTTCTTCCATCATTGAAAATGGGCATCGATCTTCATCATCAGGTAGGAACAGGGCATGAAATGAAGTAGCACTGCTTGTAAAATACCTGATTTTGGCAGTCATAGAGCAGGAATCACATTTTGGAAGGATTAGAATCTGCTACAGTTTCAGGTTGGGTATTGTCCAGTGGCACCAGTACTTTATTTCATAACTAGGAGTTGAACTTTTATACTTTGGCTTTACTGTTAAGCATGTACTGTGGTGTTTCATGAATTAGAGGCTATTACTGCTGCGTTAACTTGAGACATGAGTGATAAGGCCTTCTATGCTGGGTGCCATTGTAGTCTTGCATCCCAAAACATCTTGCAAGTCACCCATCCACTTCTGTCATGCTTCAGTGGAGGAAAGACTTAGCATCTCTGCTTTAGAGAAAGTCATACAGTGTTTCATAAAACCATAAACAAAAATGCTGCTTTCTTAACCGGGGCAGGAGATTGCGAGCGTGGGCTGTACTGAGGAAGAGAAGCTTGCCAAATGCAAATGCTAGTATATTAATGATCTGAAGATATTGTTCCTGCTGAGATTCATGTAGAGTAAGTGTGATCACTGAAAGGATCGCTTGGGCTCTGGTTGCTTCTACTATGTAAATGGTACAACGTTTCACAGGGGATTGAGTCCAATGACCTGTAAAATAAAGTTGTTGCATGAACATTGGTTTGTAGCTTTGTTACAAACTTCAAACAAATTTAATTCCTCTCTCCCATTTTTTATTCAGGTCAGGCAAAAGTCACCCGTGAACTGACCTGCTTTCAGATGTCAGAATCTTCATCCCCCGAAGCCCATGCCCCTGCAGTCATCTTACAGATGCCCCACCTTCCCGTTACTGCAGTAACCAGGACATCTGAGAAGTTTTCAGGAGAAAACATCTGTCCAACCAATACATCTTCTTGCCTGCTGGGACAGGGAAAGAGCACAAATACAATGGGAGTAAAATCTTCTAACCAGCCAGGTAAAAGAGAAAAATAACTTGCTAAAGCAGTATTCTGTTTCCTTTCTTCGACTGCTGCTATGAGTATTGTCCTGTGAACTCGTGGTAATTATGAAACCTTGCTTCTCTGGCTATATATCCCATTGTGGGACACTCCAGTTTGGAATACTGTGGGTCCTAGCTAGAGGTTTTGGCTGTAATGTCTCATCTGCAGAGAATTTTTGTGCCTAACATAGTCAAGTTTTTAGTGAAGCGTATCTTACAGCACAGTTACTGAATTCAATAAGTTACTGAATCTCTTAAACATACCCAGCTCTTTTCATGAAATTCGTGGACATTATTAGCGCTTTGGGACTGGAGGCCCTTTGAGAAGTTAGACAGATATTTGGCCAACAGGTTCCAATAGTCATTTGGAGGAAGGAGTGACTGACAGCAGTCTGACACACAGACACATGTCAGAGACTGCAGAATCTTAGTTATATTGAAACTGAGTTTAAAAAAAAAATTGCATGGAAGCCATTCATCCTTTGCTGTGACACTTACAAATTGGACTATATATATGGGTCAGAAATTACAGAAGGAGACTGGGATGGGATTGCTAGCAAGAGATAGGGATCATTTGCAGGTTATTACTTCACTTTTTATCTTACTAAAACTAAGAAAGTAGCAAACACTTCCTTTGTCTTTGTTTGTGCTGATACAGCGAAGGACTGGAATTCAATTACAATTAAAACAATGGATTCATCTGCCACTGGAGGTGAGTATTCCTATCTGCATGCCCTTATGCAACAAAAATTGAGGGTGATTCTGTGGTTTTTGGGGGATACAGATCTGAGCATGTAGTTTTGACTTGTACGTACATGTTAATACTAATATTGCTAACAAGTCTGTATGCAGACTTGTAGAATCATGAACACTTGTTCTACTTCATCAGATTCTCAATCAGTTCAAAGTGTGGTGTACTTACCCTTATTTACACGGTGATGTACATGTGTACTGTTAGGCAATCTCTGCAGTGGAAACCATAAGCGCCAGAAAAGTGTGGCAGGCAGACAGCTTGAGCAGTGAAGATTTCAGCTGATCAAGTGAAAACTGTGGCTGCACACAAAGCAGTCGGAAAGTGGTGTGCCCAACCATGTGTATTGAAGCAAATTACTATGGGTGAGATAAAAGTAAGGAGTCTTCTTTGTAATATAAATGTGGCAAAGAATTAAATGCTTTAAGGATTTCTGATTTCAGTTGAAAGAGATGAGTTGAGCTCTCTCCAAAAGTACCTCTGATTGCTGACACCAAGTTGTTACTGTCTGCACAATATACTGGCTTTTCACATTTGTCTCAAGTGTTGGTTTATTTAGCAACATGTGTAGCCCTTCCAAAATAAGGATTACATTCCTCCTCATCCTAAAACATCCAAGATTGGCATAAATATCTGCCAATTTTTAGTGGTCACAAATTTGTCACACCTGTATGCTGGTATCTACCAGTGTGTTTTACATGAGAAATGTAGTTGATCTGGATCACTTCTATAAGAAAAGGAGAGAATTCTGCTTTTTCAGAGAGCAAGAGCAAGAGTGATCAGGCTGAATTGCTTCTAAGATGGCAATCCTTCATGTATAGAAGGAGCTTTCAAGATATAGTTGCTGGTTTATACAACAAGTTTTGGCTTCGGTACGTTAAAATTGGGCAAGACGCTCCACTATTTTGCAATTATAGAGCATAGCTGGAGTCCAGAGCTGAACCCTAAGAGGCAAAGCACATAAGGTAGAACCTCAGAGGTGGAGGGAGGAAGATGTAAAGTTAATTTTAAGCCACATTTGCAACTTCGAGTCTGTTCTACTTTACAAACTAAAATGTCTTCCTGGTAGAATTTAGATAATTTAAATTATGCACTTAATTACATGAAACTCCCCAGAGCTTGTCTGCTAGAATGACTTTTGCAAGCACCACTTTTTCCTTTAACTGAAATGTCACTGGCAGTGTGCCCTCTTCTGAGGACTGCCCAAGGGCCTGAAGTGATCTGACCTTCTGACTGCAGTTTTATCAAAGACATCCTCTCGGAGTCTTTTCTGGTACGCTTACACTATCCTCGCTGCAGCACAACAGTTTTACAAAAGAATTGAACTGCTGGGGAAAATCCTCCCCCAGCTTGTTAGCTCATATGGAAGTCAGAGGCCTGCAGCTTTACAGTGTAGTGAGTAAAAATCAATGCGTGTCTATCCATCAGGAAAGCACATGGGGAAAGTTTCTATTCGAAAGCACATAAAGAAAGTTTCTAAGATGCACTAATGCATCTTTTCTGGTTTTATATAGAGAGTGCTACTTCTGTCCCCAAGCCTGCCTCAACTATGAACTATGGGCTGCGTAGTGGAGCCAAAACTGGTGAAAGGTATGCATTTTTGGTGACATTTTGTTAGGCCATTGTGGTCAATGTAGTCTCAAGGGACAGGTGTTCTGCTGACTTGGAAAATAGGTGAGTCCCAGATGCTGTTTTAAGCATTGGATGTGTAATTGTACATTAATCTACTTGCTCCATAATCTCTTACATTAACATAGGTAGTTCATTTAATGTATGTATGTATGTACATTAAATTACATTAATGTACATTATGTATGTACTGTGTCCATCAACATGAAAATGGGCATATTCCTCTTAACTACACTTCTACTTTCAGGGAATAACCAATCAATGACTACTGGAATTATCACACTATCTGTACTAAAACCATCCTAGTGATGTGCTGTACGTAGTAATTTTCATTCAACACAGCAGTCCTTATATATATACCCTGAATATTCTCAGGTGAAATGTACCAGGTTATTTATTGATCGTACTTCTCATGGGAAATCAGCAACCTGCTGTATATATACTATATGTCTAGTTTGAGGATCACTCATTCCCCCTAAATCCCTTGGATGACTTGCTCTTTTGTACCTCTGTACTTCCTGTATCAGGGCCATATCCTGGTTAATCCTCACACCTTTCTTTTCACAAGGCATCTAGTAGGCTGAACACCAACATCACACCTGTGATTACAGCTTTGGATAGCCTTAGCACATTTGGCTCTTTTATTTTTTTTTTTTGTGGGGAGCGCTTCTTCAGGCTGCCCCACCAGTGCACCAAAGAACAAATGAGTCGCTGGTGCTATATTGTAAGCCTGTTAAAAGCTGTGAGCTTTCCTCTGGGCTAAGTGGAACAGAGATGAGAAAAGACAAAATTTTACAGAGCACTTTCAAGTAGACCTAACTGTGGATTTCCACATTGTTTTAGTCTTAATCAGTAAGATTATCAGTGCTTGATAGTGGTGGATTTTTGTTGGGAGGAAGAAGTTGTCAGGTCCTTTGAAAACATAAATATAAATATACTCATCTGTGTTGAAATTAGTAGTTTGGGCTTATTTTCCAAAAATAAGATGATTACCACCAAATATCCTTACTTTGGCTAGCCTAGAGTTTAATTTGTAGATAAATGTCTTGCTGAGGACTACTACACATTCATTATTAACTCAAGAGTTGCAGTTGCTTAGTAGAGGATAACATGGTATCACAATTACTCCTGGCATATCCAGACACCTTAGCATGCAAAATATCCATCAAGAAAAAAATTAGAGAGAATAAAGTTTAAATCTCTTAAATTAGGCTTGTATCTGCCTTGAAAACAATCCCAAATTAGGCCTTACATTTCTTCCGAGGTAGTTCCAACATCAGCACTTCAGTATTAGAGTCATGATACGCTGAGCACCCTAGAGAACTTGGTGTCATACCTGAACTCCATCTGTACCAGAAATTAACGGGTGACACTGTCGTCATTGTTCTTTGCCTGTTTCCCCATCTCTGTGATATGGAATAATTCCAAATGCAATGTTTGGCTTGCTTCATTAATGCCAATGAAGCAGTATATGGCTCAAACAAACACAAATTAGAATGCAATCCCGTATTTCTCAATCACATATACAGCTTGCAGTCAGCAAAGCTACACTGTCAGGAGGTCAGAATTCTGTGCGCTAGAAGTAAAAATTTCAAACGTACTTTCTGATTTACTCTTTAAATTTCATTTAAAAAATGTCACAGCCTCCAAGAAGCCTGAAGTTGGAAATCAATGGGATTTAGTGCTCCTGTCTGGCCACATGTTTATTTTTGTCTTCTTTGTTTTCTTGAAGGTTTTGAACTGTTGTTCTGCTCAGTGCTACAAAGTGCTTGTGGCTTGTCCAGCTGTGTCTTATTTGTAACAGTACCTTAGGGGCTTCAATACTTAAGTGCTGTTGTATGTCATAATAATTTCACTTTTATTAACATAGCTTTTGACTCATACAGGTTCTCTTGAAATAGATCTTTCGGAAGGTTTAGAGACACCAGTTGAACCTTTATGCTGGCTCTTGTCACTGCAGAGAGTTACTCTTTCATTTACCACGTACTTTTCACGTTATCTTTCTCCAGTGCCATTGACAGTTACTGTGAGGTGAGCCCCAGCTCTCAATCACCTCCTCCTACTGTGCATCGCCAAGTTGAAAGGAGGCGAGAATTGGTGCGGTCTCAGACGCTCCCACGGACTGCAGGAACGCAGGCCAGGAAAGCGCTTTTTGAGAAACTTGAACGTGATGATGGAAAGTACGTCTCAGTAATTGTCTCCAGAACGGTTTGTTAATGGGAAACTAATTTGTCAGTTATTACCAGCAGATCACAGCTGGGTGGGAGAACTCTGTGTAGGATTTGGAGCTAAGGGACAATGTAAGGTCTCTAAAGTTTCACTGACTTTACAGACCAAGCCTTGGAAATTCACAGCTACAGATTCCTCTGACTTTGAAGTTGTTCAGCTGAAGCAGCAGGTGCCTTTTATGAAGGAGGAGTTCTGTGAAAGCTGCCTTCTCCATCATTATAGGAGACTGCAAATATAGTGACTTTCTGTAATGCCATTCCTTGAGGATCAAAATATGGACAGTTCTTGATGGGAGTATCATTTAAATAAAAGAGGGCCTGGAATTGGAATTATGGCTTTCGTTTAATAAAAATTACATTTCTCTTTCAGGACCAACAAGTCAAGGTTTCAGCAACATGTTTCTCAAATATCACCTGGGCAGGGGCTGACCTGAGCAAAGTTGCATAAATGTTCCTGACAAGTAGGTTTAAGTTCTTCTAGAATGTAATTTAATTTGGTCTCTGTTGATTTTCCAGAGGAAAAGGAGAATCGAGAGCTAAGCTGAAGAGGTCGCTGAGTTTTGGGGTTGCCAGCGCTAGCAGCATTAAACAAATTCTGTTAGATTGGTGTCGCTCAAAAACCATAGGATACAAGGTAAAGATATGCTAGTATTTTCATCTCGCTCTTTTTTGTTTCAAGAGAATTTGCCAAATTCTGTACTCAAAGAGTGAATGTAAAATATGCTAGAGAATGAGTTATCTTCTTCAATGTCATCAATTTTTGTGTGGGTAACATGAAAATGGTTTGTGTACGCAGCACTTCAAGACTGTCAGTGACTGCGTGAATGAGATTCTGTATGTCTATTAAAGTAATGCATTAGTGTTTTTCTAAAAGCTTTTTGTGCTTATGAATATAAATTTCAGTATATGTTCAAACTTTTTTTTTTCTTAGTTGCAGGCTGTAATTTTTTATTCACATTATACATGACAAGTTCTGAATACATGAAGACTATGGCCATTTTGCTACATGCAGACCCAAGTATCTGTTAGTATTCAAATGAATTTGTAGTAAATTGTTGAGTTTCAATCACATTGTGAGTAAATTTTTGTGAGGTAGCATCAGTGTCACTAAAAGAATACAGCGGTTGAGATTTTATTTGTTTTACCTGGCCTTAAACTGCAACTGTCAAAGAAATATAGATTTTTTTTTCCCTAGGGTTTTTTTTTTGTGTGTTTAGTATGTTTTTCAATGTTACTAAATGTGCATAATTATTGCTAAACTGTACATTATAGTTTAAATAAGCAGAACTAATTAAAATTATGGTTAATTGCTTACTAGAAAAGCTGGGGCTTGAATTTTTTATGATGGGAAAGCAGCATGAGACAAAACCATAAATATGTTTCTTTTCACTGTGGCATTTAAAAGTAACAGTAAGAATTTGTTTTGAGAATCAAGTTGTGCAGTAGATATTATTTTTCCTATATTTCTACCTATCTGTGTGTAAACAGATAATGAATTGGGCAAAGCAAGCAAGCATAGGCTTTATCTAGTGTTATTCACAAAATAAACTGTTCTTCAATTTTAAATCCTCCATAGCGTGATTATGGTTATATATAAGCAGTATCCTTAGTTTCCACAGATACTGGGCCTGCCCCAGTGCTCACTGATGTTGATAAGATTCTTCACAGTATTTTCAGTGGGCTTTGGATGAGGGACCTTGACTAGGCATCTGCTTTGCATCTGAATATTTCAGGCAAGGAGTTTTTATTGCTGTGTGCCATTTTTTTTCCCAGGATGTCAACAATGAAATGGACATACAAAGATGGGAAGAAAAAATAAAGTCTATGCTCTTGCTTGTGGGAAAGAATGATAGAAAACAGCATTGAACAAAAGCAGCTGCTCTTATTTGTTCCCCTGTTCTGCGTTAATATGTGTATTTTTTTTCATCATGACAGCACATTGATCTTCAGAACTTCTCCTCAAGCTGGAACGATGGGATGGCATTCTGTGCTCTTGTACATTCTTTCTTTCCTGAAGCTTTTGATTATAATAAGCTTGACCCAGCTAATCGCAAGCAGAACTTTGAGCTGGCCTTCACAACGGCTGAGTGAGTACATTAGCGCTCTGTGAAGTGCTTCCAGTTCAAGTCTAATGCACCTGAGCAGCAGTGAAGAATTTCATTATTATTCTTTTTGACTCTGTATTGATGCCTTGGAAGGCTACCTAGAACAGAGGCTAGACAGTGTTAAAGGAATAAAGTAGGTATTTAGTAAAAAGGCCTTCAAAGGATACAGCTTGGGCAGTACAAGAGCCTGGGCGAGGCTACACCCAAGATGGACAATGGATCACACGTTTTCACACTTTTGTAAGTTTTGGTCCATTTACCTATTGGGGTTAATTGTCCAACTACAGCTTCATATTATGAAGCTCCATCCTCTGAGATTGCTCTCCTCAATTCGCTGCTGTTTATACTTTCTGGGCCTGAAGCTGCAATGGTGTCCTTGGTTCTCAGGCTGGGAAAGGATTGTTTTGTCTGACTAAACTGTGAAGAGAACTTGCTAGCACTTTATATGAAGTTCTGACTTATATACTAATGCAGTACAGAATCTGGATAATATGAAAGCTAAAACTTAAAGCATCAGTATTACTAGCTTGCATGTATCATGCAAAAAAAGATAATAAAGCTCTGCAGAAAAACACATAGAACATGTGAGAGATTTCACCTCTGACTGTACCTTGTTTTGCTTGAAAAAGAACAAAGGTTGAATTCAGTGTAAGTACAGATCAAGTCTGTGAACTTCTCAGTATCTCAACCAAGTAACTGCATTTCTGAAAACAGGCAGAGTTAATACCCTCAGTCACATTATCCAGATTCTTTTTTATGCTGTATAGCAGGTAATTAAATGCTAATTTATTTTTTAAAGTCATTATGAATGTGAACCTGATAGTCACAGATAGTAACATTTTTGAGCTTGTATCAACACGATTCTTATGGTAAGACCTCTCCATGTGGTATGCAGCTGGGCTTGGTACACTTTTTCCAAATGATAACAGGCGGTAGGAACACATGGCTAGTGAGGTAACTTAAAGAACTGGATTTGCCATTGACCATTCAGAAAAAACCTTTCAAATTTCGTGACATAACGTTGTTTCTCCTTATTGCAGCCTCTAGCAAAGGCATTAATTTGGGAAATACAAGTATTTTTATAAGTACACATATATGTATATATAAAAAATTTTGTTGCTTGTCAGTGAATTGAAGGAGATTCTGTGATTCTGTGATTGATCTCTAAAAAATGATCTACAACTCTCAAAGGAAAGCTGCAGTGTTCTTCTACCTCAGTTTATGTAAACAGTTAGTTTATGGGAGAACAAAAGACACCACAACACAACACTAAGAAACATTAGGTGAGAGAAAATTACAGAAATTACTATTCATAACTATGATTGCCTTTAAACTTATTTATTTGAATGCCAGTGAAGGCTATTTTCTCAATTATTGCTATTCACCCCAGTACTAGCTATGCTGATAAAATTGATTCCTGCTCTTGCGATTTTTCATCTTAAGCCTCTGCAGATCATTCCTTTCTGCTGGTCCAGATCACTCACATCTTGAAGATATGGTGGTGGTGGAGAACAAACAATTCACAGCCACATGGACTTTCATCAGCACATCTCATCTCCTCCTGAGTTTTTCCATTCTTTTGGAACTCCCTATGTATTAACCAAAACCTGAGACATGGGCAGAGTAATATGAGATTGGGCTACATGCTACAGAGGAATGTGGAATGATAGTGAAGAAAGCCCACCCTTCCAGGGCTTAAGATCAGATCTCACTATAAAGCAAGAGACAGAAAGAACAGGAGTATTCCATGGTCATAAAAATAACAATGTCCAGCCCAACCCTGCTTAATTCATTGTGAAATGAAATGCTGCCGATAAACCTCAGGATTTCATAAATGTTTCAATGGTGCTCAAATCAGAGCATCATATGAATCCTGGAAGCAGTTATGTAACTCTTGATTTGCTGTATCTGTTTTATTGTTAATACAGGAAAATGGCTCACTGTGACCGTCTGATAGAAGTGGAAGACATGATGGTGATGGGTCACAAGCCAGATCCCATGTGTGTCTTCACCTATGTCCAGTCTCTGTACAGTCATCTACGACATTTTGAATAAAAGCAGCCTTGGCCTCTCCAGCCAGAAGGGTCAAGTACAGCATGCTAACAGGAAGACTGACATTTTGCAAATGGAACACAGTATTATTTCTTGCTTTGTGCTGTCCCTTTGCTTCCATCCAGCTGTGTAGCTGGCTGATTGAAGTATTGCTGAGCAGTGCCCTGAAGTGTTGATCACATCACCGTGTCAGTAATACGGAAATAGGTTTGAAAAAGACAAAAAGACATTGGCAAAGGCAAATATTGTCATTTTGGTGCTAGTAGTAGATTGGATTTTTATGTTTAAAGATCACAGGAAGCAAATGTACTTCTGTATGTAAGGCTAGGGACAATTTTATACAGTAATTCTGCTATGAAGGTGTTCCATCTTAAAAAGCAGGTAAAATTCTAGAAGATAGCACCTTCAGTTTCACTTCTCTATTGAGCATAGTATAAAAGAAATAGCAGATGGACAAGGAAAATTCTGTTTAGCAAATAATAACTTAGAGTGCTCAACCACTAGGGCAATAATGCCTCTCCTTCAACCCTACCCATCCACTCTAGCATACCCACACTGAGATAAAACAGACATTGGTTTGTTCTCTTAAAGCATAAAGAGAGCATAACCTTTTGTCTGATGAGTGTGGTGACAGATTACTACATTACATAATGGCATTTGTCTGTAATGGTCAAATCTAACAGTATATGCTGAGAGGGTTGCTAATGCCTCTACTGGCAGTCCTGGGGATTAATTTCTTGATAAGACTAGCAACAGTTGGGACTGTCCTTTGTCCGAGATTGTGTGTTTGCGTGGTTTAGGACTGCAGGAAAGGTATAAGCTAGCAAGGTACAAAATCCTTTGAACAGTTATAATAGAAACAAGCCTATAATGTGCTTTTACCTGGACTCAGGGGGAGAGCAGCTCTTCAGTGTGGACAAGAGTGAACTCTTTACAACTTGTTCAGTACAGATGCTGATTATTTGGCAGATGAACAATACACAAAAATATATATTAAAGATGTGGGAGTTTTGAAATAGTTTCAAAAACTTTGCACTAGTTTCAGTTTTCAGTTAAATTAGTATTAAAACCACAGTACAGTTAGATTATTCCAGATTAATGGACTAAAAAAAGCCTTCTAAAAAAGCCTTCTAAAATTATTTCTTCCCTCAAACTCATAGAAAGAAAAAACTGAAAGCCACAAATCATCTGCTCATGCTAGAGAATTATTTTCAACCTGCCCTTGTGCATTTTGTAGATATTTAGAAAGATTAATTTGGTTCCGTATTGATGACAATTTATAATAAAACATATCAAGCATTCTTCAGATTTATTGCATCTTTTTAGAATGATGTGACAGATAACCAAGTAAAACCAAGTGAAAAGACAGAGCTTTTACTTAAAAGATTTTTGTTCCAGTTATGATTCTGTGTGCTCTGAATTTCAGTTTAAAAAGTACATAAGTTCAATTGCATTTGAAACATGATTTTAGTTCCGTCTCCCTTTCTAGTCTAGTTTACTTAAAAACCATGAATGAAGCAACCACTTTGTTAGTATCTAAATGCCATTGCCTTCAGTTTTTTACTTTGTCTTGAATGATTATAATTCTGAGGTGTAAGTGTGAGCCTGTAGCTCTACCAAATGCACTGCAAGGATAAACACATTGTACTTATGTTTTGGGGGAGTTTTGAGGAGCAATCTGTCCAAAACTGGCACACATAATTCACCTATTTACATTCTTACAGTAGAATACTTTTTATTGAGTAGCAGAGGAAAGGTCCATCAAAACTACCACGAGGGGCAATACTGGCTTAATACATCGCATTCCTTCACAGTCCGAGGTCATAGATGATTTAACTGTGTGATGTGAGCACTGAAGACGCAGGTAAGTGCTTGGCCAATTTAATCCTAATAGCATATAATTATATAAAGGAACTTTTAAACTGTAAAATGATTGCAAATTCAACAGGGTGAATCTACCTACTTTCTGTAATTTTGTTTTTGCATCTACCAGCAAGGTATTTGTACAGGTTTTCTAAAGTTTTCCTGCTTCAGAGAGGTGATTGTAAAGATATCTGGGACTTACCAGCCACCTGTGGAAGACTGTAAGCTAAGTTGATCTTTTGATGGTTTGTGTGAAAGGGTTAGGGAGGTAGTGCAGTGCTCTGACATACTTTTAAAAAAACTTACAGCTTTGTGCATTGAGGTCTGCTCTATATGAATGACCTCAACTATTTGTTATGATTAAATTGAAATTAAAGTATATAATGTATGCCCCCAATTGATTTTTCAGTATTTTTATTTTTAAATAAATGCAGAGCATGTGTGTATATATGACAGTGTGTTTCGCATGAATAGTAAAAGAACAATCTATTAAGTTGGCATAGTATATATTTTACACAAATGGACTGTTTCTTAACTTTTCTAATGTTTATTATATCTAAAAGTATATCTATGGTTGTTTATTGACAACTTGATAATACTTTTAAAGGCTAAATCAATTTCTTCTGTGCAATATTTTCAAGATAATGTCAGCAGAAACATCATCTACTTTTTAAGACTATGCTTCCCATAGCAGCAGTCTTTCTCTTTTCAAGTGTAGTAACTGGATGAATGTCTTTCATCACTTCTCTGTGTGATATTTCCAATAAAGTGTTTAATCTAAAACTATGCTCAAACCCATGCTTGCATGTATTGTAAATGTATGTAATTATGTATAAAACTATCACCTGTGGCATTAATTTAAACCTGGCCTGGCTTACAGAGGTAAAGAGTCCAAAACAACAGATGGGATTGCCTTGTGTAAAATGCATTTAAAAGCCATTTTCGGTTATGCTAAAATGCGTCTATGTCTACATAAAGCCTCAGAGAAGTTAACATAGAACCACAGAGTATTCTGAGCTGGAAGGGACCCACAAGGATCATCAAGTCCAACTCTTAAGTGAATGGCCCATATGGGGATCAAACTCACAACCTTGGTGCAGTTATAGCTCAAACATACTGAGCTAATAGTTTGGGTTAGCTGTTTATATCCACCCCCTGACTTGCATCTGAACGAAACCCCTTGGACAATACAGCTAGGGGCTTTTTGTCCTTGTGCCTTTACCTGGAGTAAACTGTTCCTTGTGGAACCTCAGGACAGAGAGCCTCCTCATTTCTCCTCTACATGGTCCCTGTCATGGCTTGTGTCTGGCACCTTGGAGCTCTAAAGATTCTTCCTCTGGTAAATCCCCATACAGGCAGTTCCCCCACTCCTGGCATGGCACCAGAGTTCTAAGAGCTAGCCCTGGGTTCCAGCAGCCACTTCACCTTGCATCTAGTCTAAATCAACCTTTTTAGTTTTAAACTGTTAAGCCTTGTTCTATCACTGCAGGCCCTAATGAAAAGTTTGTCCCCATCTTTCTTAGAACCCTCCTCTAAGTACTGAAAGGCTGCCAGAAGCTCTCCGATGAGCTTTCTGGAGGTTGAACAGTCCCAGCCCTCTCAGCCTTTCTTAATGGGTTATTTTGGACACTAGTGGACCACCACAGTTCAGATCTATTACATTAGTCTGCTTTGTGATTTTAGCAACACTGAAAGAAAACAGTAAACGATGCTGCAGTGTGAGCTTAACCTAGAGAACTCTCCTACTTCAACACAGTGACAGCAGTTCTGATTGATTCTCTGATTAATAAGACTATCTATGGTATTTTTCATGCAACCAACAAGGAACATGGCAGCATACTTCATTTACATCTAGTCTCATGAATGCTGGTTGGTTAGACTCCTCTGCAGAAAACGTGAGACGTTTTTAGACTGAAGACTTGGCCATTCCACAAATAGTGACCCCATTTTCTACATCCTGATAAAATTCACAATGTGAGGAACCGCTCCTCTGTGCAATCCTTTTTAGAGGCATTACAATGGAAAGTGGTAAGGGAGCTGGTGTGCAGAAGAGGACTTTTTCAGGCGGCCGTACCGGGCCCTTAGCCGTGGCGTGGAAGGGCGATACGGTGTCCGCGCAGCCGGCGCTGCCTCCGCCCGTTACCGCGGCGCGCGGGAGGGGCGCGGCCGGCCCGCGGCGGGACCGGCCGGTGCGCGCAGCCCCGGCGGCCGTGGAGCCGTTCCTACCCCTGTCAGTCGGTAGAGGGAACCATCTGAGGTAAAACTAAAGCTTTCTTTTGTCGTGTAATTCATATTGCAGGATCGGTTTTAAATTTCATATTAACAGTTTGAAAGGAAATTGTCTTTTACGGTAGCTGACATTAATGAACGTATTTGTGGTTTGTCGCTTTAATTTGTGGCAGTGTCGCTACAATCTGGGGTAGGACAGCATGAGATACTGGGGTTTTAGAACAAAATGGCATGAAGTCCCACTGGTCCCACAATAACGTCGTGGAGAACCACCACTAGGAGTTTCCTCGGCTTTCAAGGTGACTGAGCACTTTTTCAGAAACGTGACATTCTCTCTGCTCTGCTTCTTTTTGACTAATGTTGCTTCTTTATCATTCTGTGATCTTTTGGAACATTTTCGGGTTTCACTCTGAGAAACTCTGATCTAAACTATAGCAGAGCTATACAGAGGGGACACAATTGTACCGTTTGATGTCAAGCTCTTGATCTCCTTCATCTCCTCTGTCTGGCTCCCAGTATCTTTTCTCCCAGGAGAGAATATTGTTGACATAAAGATGGAGGATATTTTATGATAGACATTTTAGATAACTGGACACTTAACACACCTCTCAGTTGTTTTCACAATCTCTATGCATTTCTACAACAAATCAATTCAGAATTACTGTCCACAGCTCTGAGAATCAACCAAAAAATAATGTACAGTGAACACCTGGTATTTTTTCCTGATAAATCTTAACAGGAAGTGGGTGAAATGAAGGAGCACTGGCTTGTGTATGTTGTGCCTCCATCACCCGGTGCCATAGCACCAAGCTGCTAGCAGAGGCTTGTTTGCCTACTGTGCAGTTCGAGCTACCTCCTGAAATATTTAGTTGCACATTTAAAAAGAAACTGCTGCTGCTGAGGAGATTGAGGCTGAAAGACCCTTCCTAGGGAAGAAGGACTGAGGACATGGCATTTTGGCAGGCTTTGAACTTCAGAGCAGTTCAGTCGAGGAGCAAGATCAGTCGAGATGTGTGTGAGGCCAAAGGAAGTTAAGGTGGCTGTGCTGAAGGGAGTGTGGGCAGACCTGTGTATTGATGACCAGTTGTGTGCATTTGGGCTCAGGAGCTCTCTAAGGAACACTGGATGAGCACACTGCAAGAATAGGAGAATTTATAATCAAACAACTTTGTGCAAATTCAGGGCACTGGTTTCACCCTCCACTAAACAAGTGTCCTCAGTATGCTTTGTTCTTTTCTGTAGTCCTTTCTAGACTTTCCCATTGCCTCATTTGCCTGCTGAATTTTTTCCTTCAGCTTTTCAGGTCCGGTTTTGGTTTGGGGTTCGGTGTTTTGTTGTGTTGTGTGGTTGTGGGTTTTTTGGTTTGGTTTGGGTTTTCTTTGTGTGTTTTTGTTTGTTTGCTTGTGGGTAGGGGTTTTTGTTTGTTTGGTTTGGGGTTTTGTTTTGTTTTTCCTAATCATCATTAGAAAAAAAATCACCTAATCAAGCATTAGAACAGACTGCCTTGGGAAGTGTGGGAATTCTCATCCCTGGATGTGTTCAAAAGGCATGTGGATTTAGAACTTGAGGATCTAGGATGGTTTATTGATGAGCACAGCTCTGCTGCATTAACAGTTGGACTCAGTGATCTTAGAGATCTTTTCCAACATTAGTTCTGTGACTACATTTCTTCTAGATTTTATCCATCTCTCCAGCCATATTCTTGAAAGGTGTTTGCTTCTCCAACCTCTGTGAGGCTTTTATATTTGTTCACTTTTTCTCTTGTTTTCTGTGATTGCTTTTTTAGTAATTCCATCTTTCTCCACAGGTCTCCTTTCCCTTCTCCTTCCTATTGCATAGTCCATCTTTTCCTGTTAGATCCACTTCTCTTCTCCTAAATTTCACTCACAAATTCTTTTGTTTCTTCATTCTACCACTCCAAACATGTCAGCACATTCTTCCCTACACATCAGCAAATACCTGGGGAACTTTGGGCAAGAAATCTTTTTTTTTTTTTTTCATATCAGTGTCATTTTGCAGGTAAAAAGAACAAAATATTTCTCATTCTTATAGACCTGCCTTCTCTCCTTCTTGCTTTGGCTGCCAAATATAATGCTATTTCTGTTTTCAGGTTCCATATTCAAAGAACTCACCTGCATTATATCCAGAAACTTTCCAAATAGCAATGGCCAGACTGTTGCAAGATCCATCTAAACTTCATCCCTCAGAATGGCACACTGCAAACAGAATGCAGCGTGCCAGCACAGAGTCCCAGAAATCCAGGTCAGAATGCATGATAGCTGAGAGTTGGAGGCTGGTGGACGAAATAGAAAAGACAACTCAAAAAACCCAAATCGATGTCAACAAGAAATTAGGTAATCCCATGTCTTCCGCAAGGGTCAAGATGTGTTATTTGAGCTATATGTTCAAGAAGGGCTTAGCAAATTAGTTGATAATGAAGAGCCATGTTTGCCGATGTAATGAAAAAAACCAAAACTATTTTTTAAAATATTTTGAGGCAGACTCTTTATTTTTATAAGAAAGCACATAAAAAGCTCTCTTAACCAAACAACCTGACACAGGTTTGCTAAACTGTTTCCACACAGCCCACAGCACTTCAGCACTCCACTATAGAATAAGTCTATTTTTAGCCATACCTAAGATCTGAGCTGCAGTGCCCTTGCTCATAAAATGGGACCATATTAATACATGTTCGTTATTTTGATTCTACAGAACAGAGACGGGAAGAGATAAAATTCTGGAAGCAAGAGTTAGATAACAAGCTAGACCAAATTGTTCATGAGACAGAGATACTGTTGACTTTCAAGAATAGGCTGGAGAGAGCTTTGGAGGGCTGCAAAGAGCCCCTTGTCATTGCCCAAAAGTGTCTCCTGTACAGGTGAGCATTCAAGGAGCCAAAAAAAGTCTAGGTAATGAACCTTTAACAAAGAAGAAAAAAGACTGCAAACTAAAGGCCCACCTGTCTTTACAGTGGAGTCACAGTCTGATTTAGGTGTACAGCACTGGGGAATGCGGAACTTTATCATCTTCTGTTCAATGCAGGCATTTGAACAATGTGGCTGATGGTTTTTTCTTTTTTCTTGTAGGCAGAAGCGAGTTGGGATTGACTTGGTGCATGATGAAGTGGAACAGGAACTGCTGAAGGAAGCAGAAGTCATCCAGGGGGTTATTGCTTTACTTGGACGTACATTGGAACAAACAAACGAGCAAATCAGGTGCAGAGGCAAAGACCATAATAGAACATTAATTAGATGAGAATTAAGACAGCCATAATACTGAGAAGTTGTAGGGTCAGGCTGAGCACAGGTCCTAAGTTACCTTCAATGCTAACCACTAGCAGGAGGTCAGTCCTAATTCATACCACTCAATCAGTAGTGGTGAGGGGTTCTGCATGTAGAATACAAAGTACTTGCACTTGATCATGATCCAGACCTGTGCCTTTAATTTCAATGAGAATTGTACCATCAATTTATAGAAAGTCAGCTTCGTACTGCAGATTTTGTGACTTGACAACTAAGAGTTCTTACACAAATATTTCTGTAACAGCATTTGAATTACCTAATGCTTGTATGCATGCATATTAAGGACACCTGTGAATGCCTACACTTGGTCTGAGTTTGGTTGTTTTCTCTCCTAGACGAAACCGTTCAGCAAAATACAACCTGGATATGGATCTGAAGGACAAATTCACAGCTTTGACAATTGATGATTACTGTGCTAGCTTGACAAACGACACTCCTCATATTATATATGCTGATAATGCAATGAAACTAGAAGGAAAGTAAGTGGTTCTTTAGTTCAAGAAACATATGGTAATTATACAGATAATATGAGATGTCCCAGTAATAGCAAGATTTGTTTGGTGTAAAACAAGCTTTATCTTTTTGCCATTTAATTATTTCTTATACTTCTGTCCATCACCTTTGTATCTGTGGAATATGTCTGTGAAATAAGCCACAATAATTATGCTCCCAGTGAACTACAGTTTTTTAAAAGTTTTTGAAGCTCACAGTTAGCAAAGGAAGAATTTCACATATTGCTTAAACACAGAATAGATTTACTGATCTTAACTTCTTTCTTCTCCCAGGGTGTCCCAGTGGGGAGAATACTGAACTGGGACACATGAGGTGTCAAGTCAGCTTCTGAATCAGACATTAACCTGTCAAATGTGCCCATTCTGCATGGGTTAGTTAGTGTGAAAGGTTTAAATGGACAAATAGCTACCACAGCAGAATGGGCTGAAAAGAGGAACTATACTGAGAAAGCAATGTGTGTAAGAGCCTCAGAAGTCACTGTTGCTATGCAACAGCTAGCAAACTTGCAACACCAAGAGGCTTGACAGCTCTTGCTGCCAGCACCAACTACAGGATTGTGTAACTTTTGTAACCCAGGACGGTTTTGCCTGCTATGTGCAAATGACAGTTACAACTTTACATATTCACCCAATGAAACAAGGAATGAACCCTCTGGGGAACTTTCCAAACACCTGTGTGCAAGCCAAAGCTGCACAAGGATGACCCTCTAATTCTGGGGATATAGTTGGGGCTGGGCTTCTCAACTATTGTTCCAGGCAGGTACTGTAAGTGTAGTATAGGTGAACTGTGTGAGAGAATAAGTGACTGTGTTGTGTAAATAGCTACCTGCTATTAATAGTAACAGCTTTATTAATGAAAGATGTTCTAAGAAATATTTGTTACTATGTGTGTTTCCTCCCATGATAGCGCAATCCTTTACCACGGGAAAAGAAATTAATAGCAAGGCTGCTCTATCACTCTAGCAAATTTGTTTTCATCCTACTCTTATCTACTTCATTACAAGATGATTGTGACAGAGTCTTTCTTTTGTATCTGTAGCACTCCCTGGACATATGGCACTTACTGGGACATGCAGTTAAAAGTACTGCGTTGTTCTTGATTTTGTGGCATAATTACAGATCTATGAAGTCATAGAGGGCCTGCTTCTGTCTGTTGGTGACCTTTTATTTTGAATCTCTTTCAGTTTTGTTAGCCCTGAGGACTGGATAGATTTCTCAAACATAAATGTTGAAAAGGCTGACAAGCAGCGAAACAATTCTTTGGCACTGAAGGCACTTATCAATAGCATCCTCTCACAGACAGCAAATGACATGCGCAAGCAATGTGAGATGGTGAATAATGCTTTTAGAAATAGGGTGAAGGAAGTCAAGGATGCCAAGCACAAGCTAGAGACACTTCTTGCAATGGTAAGTCATAGGGGACAGTCAGTGAAAAAGTGGAAACACACAGGGCTTGGGTTATCTGCTGTCTGTTTCCCATCCCAGTGGGTTGCACTTACCTGCCACATTTTCCTTTTTGTTCCCTTTTCCCTTCTCTGTAAAAGTAATTTTAGATTTTTTTTTTCTCAGCTCTGTGTTTGTGCCACCACAGAGATGAATTTCTGGAGTCACTAATTCAACCTAAATGTTGCTGTAGCCATCAGTAAAGTCAGGATTTTCCTCATGATTTCTAGTTGCATGAGGCTCCTATAGCTTTTTCAGGGTCCTATAGCTTTTTCAGGATTGTGATATAATTTATAATAGCAGGGTCAATGTGCTCAAAATCTGACACATGAAAACTGAGTATTAATATTAAAAATTAATTGCTGAGCATAAATTTCTGGGTTCACTCAAAAGAGTGTCATCTGCTTTCCAATGAAGGCTAAGCTTTGCAAACTATCATTTGATGAAACAACAACACAGTGAGTGTTACTGTGATTGTTACAACTATGAAAGATGATGATGATGATTTCACACATTGTAAGAGACAGTGTGCAGAATTTCATGGTTGGATTTTAAGGTGATGGATGAGACTGCCTCACAGGAGAAGAACATTGCAGCCTTAAAGAAAGCAATCACTGATAAGGAAGGACCTGTAAAAGTGGCTCAAACCCGCTTGGAAGCGAGGAACCATCGCCCCAATGTGGAACTGTGCTACGACACAGTGCACAGCAGCCTGATGAGTGAAGTTCAAGAGATTACCAAAAATATTCAAAGGCAAGTGGAAATGATGCAAGAGGAAAATCTGTGGTACTGGTTAATTTAATGTGTCAGCATAACAATGGGTCCCAACTATTCTCCCTGAAAATTGAGAATTAGTTTTCCCTTAAGGGCAGGACACTTTAAGGGAAGTTAATGAATAGGCTTTAAGGGAAGATAATAGATATATTGTCTCTATGAATCCCTTTCTATCTTTCTTTTTCTTGCACAGAATTTCTAACCCTTATGAGAAAAAGAAACCTATCCATGTGTTTTCAACTAATGCCTGCCTCTATTTTCCCTATTAGATTAAAGGATGCATTGGCACAGGCTGAGATAGAGTTGAAAGGCCTGAGCCGCCGACAGCTTTCCTTGGAGGAAGAGATCAAGGTCAAGGAGAACACACTGTACATTGATGAAGTGCTGTGCATGCAAATGAGAGAGTCTCTTTGCATAAACAATTACTGAAGTCATTATACTGGGAGACTGTGCTCCAAAGAACCAGCTCCTGCTGAAATTTTATTGACAAACTTCCAAATTTATTGGCTTGGCTCAATGCTGTCTAGTTGTGCAAGGTAATTAAAAGAGACCTAGTAGCTATTTGTTTCAGAACTATCTGTGCTCTAAAATGTTTGATGAAATCTTCTGCTTGGCAATAAAATTCCAGAATAATGAGAAATGCCCCTTCTTCCATGTTTATCTCACGTGTAACCAGTGATATCTTTTCCTATTGAAAGGTGTCAAAAAGCAACTGTGTGGAAGCCAGAGCAGGGGTGTCCACATAAATCACTTATTGGAAAGCTGGGCAAGTGGGAGGGATGTCTCTCAGGACTGGCCATGCGATGTTTGGTTTTTATCTTAGCATCTGTTGCTAAGAACTAGACAGTATGCCCAACTTAACAGTACCTAACTTATATAACTAATAAACTAGATAGTGTATCTGTCTGCATCTGAATTAAGATCAAGTCAAGGCTGACTTTGGGAAAATCACTTGTTCACCCCATGTCTGTTTCCCTATTCATAAAATGGAAACAATGAGATGGGCTTCAGTGGTAAAGTGTCTGAAGCTCTACCATGAGAAGTGCTGAAAAAAGAGGAGGGTCTTATTTTTATCAGAGTTACCTGTAAGGATGGAAAAGAGATCACTACTTCCTTTGGTTCTGGCAAAGAAAAAGCAAGGACAAGAATAAATAATGCTGCAGACAACGAGTCCAGTTCCCAAGTCCAACATTTTAATGCATGGAGTTTAAAATTGTCCCTTGCCTCCCTCTTGCTGGAATGATAACTCCCTTTTGCAGGCACTGCTGTCAAAATTCAAATCCCTTACTAAAGCCCTCCAAAGGATCTGTTAATGCAGATGTTACTGGGTGTTCTTTCTCTTCCTATAGTTTACACCATTGGGTAGGTGATGACAAAATAATTAAGCTCTGAGTCAATCAGGTACTTGAATTTCCTGTAAATATCAACCAGCAGCTGCTCCTCCTCAGTGCTGTCATCTTGGGCTGTATAAATCCTGACCTGTATGCACAAACAGTGGTCATGTCTCTCAGATATAGGGAGCTCAACCCATTACAACTCATAGCAACAAGAACCATCTGTGGCTAATAAGGAATCTGGAGAAGTAAAATTCCTTGAATTGGACTAGAATCTTGAGGTTTTACTCTCTTCCCACTCCCAGCTGACTGAAAATATAATCTCCTGCCAAAGCATTTTTGGGAGGTGTTGGGAGGAATGGGTTAAATAGTAGAATACTAGCAAGAAGGATTGTGAATCACTCAGGTGACCTTGCAGATGGGAGTAACCCTTGATAACCCAATATGAGCACCAGCCAGTGATCCTCTGGCATGGACTGAGTTTAACTGTGCCTCTATCTCCACTTGTGTGTGTATCTGCCTGGGGGTTGCTTTGGGGATGCCGCAGTGAGCAAAAGAAGGGAAGTAAATTTACTTGTTGTCTTTTAGCTGTGGTTTTGTGGTTGTCCCAGCTGTGTGCCTGTGCTGACTCAGACAGGAAGAGCAAGGTTCTTTTTACCCCCAGAACTGATGCATCCCTAGGATCTGCACAGATCTGTGAGGACCTACTGAATAGAGATTGTAGCACAGAAAGTAGCATGTCAGCATTGTTTACCATAGCTACAGTTGTGGCCTGGCCCCAGTTCAAGACAGGACCTTTGAAGGATGTGGTGTTTATATCTTTTTGCAGTTTAGTGGGATTCAGTCCACCTTCCTTGGTTTAAGCATAGACATAAGCACTGAGCCTGAGAGGTAACTGGGAAACCCTGGAAGTGGGAGAAGGCTTTAACTAGAGGTGACAGAGGGAGTGCCAGTCTAGGAAGGACATCTGGAATTTTTGGGACTTCATAATAAACTTCTAGAGTGTCTGTATGTGACTAAATAGGGTTGGAAAGCCCCTTTCTGTGAGTGGCTCCCAAGCTCTTTAGTACTAAGGCATAACATAGGGAAGATTGTTACAGTAACATTTCTGGATGTGCTCTTTGCCTGGTCATGGGGACCTTTGGGTATAGGAGAAAAAATGGGAATGGGAGTTTTGAAGCACAAAGTCTTACCTTTATGGTAGTCAAAATGCATTTCCTTTCTGCACGGTTTTGTAGCAGCCTTTCCATAAAGCTGACACTTAGAAATGCCCAGACTTTCAGAAATAACAACCTCTTGCATGATAAGATAAGCTGTAGCAGCTCATTGTCCAGCAACTCATGGTCATTGTTTAATTCAAGTGTTAATTTCTTGAAAAAAAATGAACAGTTAGTACTACTAAACAGATGTTGCATGCAATAACTAGAATTCAACAAATAGTTTTTCAAGTTAACCAACAAAAATGTCAGCAGATCAATTTTGTACCTTGGTATTAGCTGAGGATCTGTTTTGCATTATGACAACAGTGTATGTGCTAAAGTAAATAATTCTCCTCATAAGATGGGGTGATCCCTTGTGCATTTATTAGAAAATGCTGCACCCACAGTCATACCATGACCTTATCTGACATAATGAAAATTATCCCAGAGACATGAGTGGAGCCAATGATGGTTTCTGGAAAGCTTTACATATCTGTGGTGTTTATTGGCAACTCTGCAATGGAACAGACCTTACAAAAAGCTGTCAACAACCATCAGATGTAAGACCACGTTTCCCTCTGGCATGCAAAGACCTGATGCTCACTTATGTGGGTCAGCTGTTAGAAACCTTTGATGACACATCCCTTGTGACACCGAAGTGCTTTGACATGGGCACTAGTTAATTTAGATGTGCCGTAGGACATTTGTGCATTGGCAAAATACAGCAGCCTGATAGCATTAATGGAGGGTTATAATTGGACAAGGATAATTTCATTAATGACATTATGGGTGAAACACTGAAATGATTCACTTATGAAAACTGCCCTCTGAATGTAAAACTAAAGCAGTCAGGAACTTCTGTTGCTGACTGCTGTTATGCAGAAGGCCTACATGATTACTTTGTTTACCATTGTGATATTGCAGTAGGGTATCTCTATTTAGTTTTCCTTACCTGCAGACCATGCCAATAAGCTGGGAGAAGGTTGGTGAGGGTAGGTCTCATTGTCCAGTCTGGGTCACTAAAATAACAGCTCCGTAGGCTGATGCTCCTGACTGGGATCTCTTCTAGCAGGATCCTAGCTAGGTGGTCATGCTTCATGACTCTTTCAAAGAAGAAGTTCACATTCAGTTTTGGGGCCCTCTTGGCCAAATTTGCCCATGACGTTCCTGAGATCACTTGCCCATGAGGGTCATGGATATGACACTTGATATTCAAGGTGCACAGGGAATGAGAGTTGTGCTCCCGCAGGATGTCCAGCAGTTCATCTGAGATGCAGTTATAATTGAAAGTCAGGATGGTCAGCCTGTGGAACTTAGACATAGTTTGGTGGAACAAGGGACTGCTGTAGACAGAAAGGTGGAAACTGAAGAAATCCTCAATATTGATTTCAGATATAAAGCTTCTATTTGTCAAGCTGCTTAGAGAATTCAGAAGCTCACAGCCTTCTTCCAAAGTCATTCTTGCTCCTTTTAAGTTAAGATAATCAAGTTGATTGCTTATTCTTTTCAGGAAGGCAGCTAAGTTCTTGATAAACTGAGCCCTAACCACATTTTTCCAGATCAAGCAGTCTAATTCAAGGTACTTGATACTCAGGGATACTAGGTGACTATTACACTTACCCAGGTGTGAAAGAAGACCTCTCAGAGTCACGTGAAATTTTTTGGTAAAGGGGGTATTGTAAGGACTCGATAACTTAATCTCAAGGTGTTTCAAATATTTGCCAAATTTCTTGGTATACCACAGTGCACTTTGAAACTCCAGTGTGCGTGCCCTTGATGGTTGGCCATAGAAGGTGATGGTTCTGCATCTCCAGAGAGATCCAGAGTGCATGGTGCAACTCCATTTTTTACAGACCAAGGCAGCCCGAGATCTGTCCCTGTCATCTAACCAATGGAAGACATGCCTCAGACAGACATCAGGTAGATAGGCCCAGGAGCTTTGCTCAGGTTCACTGTCATCTTCCATTGAGAGGACTTATCTTCTGGGTCTTAAATAAAACCAACATGCAGAAAGCTGTGGGTAGATTTCTTGCCAATCCCAATGTAATAGGCTTCTAAACAAATGGATGAAAGTTTGTTTCTTCACAATCCAAACCAACAACCCTTTGCCTCTGTACTCCAGCTGTCAAACAAGCCCTTGAGTCTAAACTATAGTCTTACCTAAATAAAAAGAAAAAAACAAAGAATGAAGAACAATTGCAGTACAAGCACAAGACACATCTTTTAACTTTTTGGCCTTCACCTTCAGTCTAGCTAAACAGTGAAATGCTATCAATTGCTGCTACAGCAGCCACACGGTCTGCAAAAACCTTTGGTTAGCATCAGCTGCAATTAATTGATCATGGTCTGTGGTCTGATGACTAGCATTCAAAAGTACTCAGTTCTCTGGGCTGTATACATTTGAACAGGACCATCAGTGCAAAATTAGCACTAATGACTTTTCATAGTCTTCTGGAGTACTATTTCATGACAATTAATACCGTGCCTTAGATTAAGGCTGGATAAAAAAAGTTGAAATTTGTGGAAACAAGAAGTGCACCATAAGAAGAACATGGATCCCTGCAGAATCTGTTTACAACTACAGTTCCCTGAGGATCTGTTTACAACTACAAAGCGTCAGATATTTATATTTTAATTTTATAAATGGATATGAAAGAACAGGTTGATAGCACAATTAAGCTTCAATCTGCTGTCTTTTGGCCTACGGTTCTTATGCCATACAGAATCTCTCTGCCTGTACACATCCTCTTTTCAATTAACACCATTTATATTCTTAGGGATTCCTCTGCCCACTCTTGCTTACCAACACACATCCCCAGCTATCAAGATAACCCTTAGAAATGGAGCATGTGGTCTGATTACTACCTAGACTTTCTCTCTCTCTCTCTCTCTCTCTCTCTCTCGTATTTAGTACCCCCAAGAAGAGCTCTTTGTTTTAGGTGGTCTCTAGATCAATGTCCAAAAATCCAAACCAAGTCTAAAAATATGGTGGCTGAAGCTCCAGTTTGCTAGTGAGAAGAACCTGAAATTTTGCTATAGAAATTGAGAGTGGGGAGGACACAGGGGAAGAGGTCTAATGCTTCAGCTACCTGGAAGCCCTGAAGTCAATGGACAGAGGAAAGCAGAACAGAATATAGGGCTGTAATACACAGAAACACATCTGCTAATAAAAGGTGTTTATTATACTGCAGTCATCATTATTAGTGTGTGAATACAAAGCGGCACAAACACCATTGTGTGGATTTTTTTTTTTAGATCAGAGTTCCTAAGAATTAGTAAAAAGTATGTTTGTTTATAAGCCAGTGGTGAGATTCAAGAGGTATCCTGCAGTGTTGGGTTGGCTTCCCCATCACTATAAGCCAAGTCTTAGCAAAGGAGGTGTTTCAGCTGTCAGCTCTGAGTTTAATTTGGTGAGGGAAAAACAAATCTTTGGAAAAAAACAGATGCTGCTAATGTTCTTTCTAGTGCAATTTTTTCAGGCAGAAGTCATTTTTTGCCCTTGGCCCTCTTTGCTGCCCGATTTGCTTCAGAGGGCATCCCTGACGGTTTACGGTCCCATACGGACAGTTACCCTAGCTGTCTCCTCCAGCAAGAGCTGCAGAAGCCCGTGGAGTAAAAGCAAACAAACAAAAGCCTCCTAAGACTTTGACAGATAATTACCAGAAGTAACAGGAGCTGTGGCTTGGATACCCAAGTGGGCAACCCAGCCTGAGTCCCTTTACTACTCCAGCTGACGCGGATCTTGGGCCGAGGTCCGCAGAGGCGCCAGAGCCGCGGGCGGGGCGCAGCGCCGCGGTCGTGCCGCCGGGCCCGGGACGTTCCCCTCCGCCCGGCCCGGGACGTTCCCCTCAGCCCGGCCGGGGACGTTCCCCTCAGCCCGGCCGGGGACGTTCCCCTCCGCCCGGCCGGGGACGTTCCCCTCCGCCCGGCCCGGGACGTTCCCCTCCGCCCGGCCCGGGACGTTCCCCTCCGCCCGGCCGGGGACGTTCCCCTCAGCCCGGCCGGGCCGCCCCACCGGCCCGCTAACGGCAGCCGCGCGCGCCCGGCCCAGCCAATCCAGCCAATTGCGGGCGGCGGCGGCGGCGGCGGCGCCAATCCGGGGGCTCGGAGCGGGCGGCGCGGCGTTCGAACGCGGCCGCGCAAAGCAGCGCTGCGGGGAGGCGGCAGCTCGGTCCGGATCCGAGGTTCCGTCCGGCCCACTGAGTGAGTACGCACCGAGGGGCTGCCCGAGCGGCCCGGTCGCGGCTCCCTTTTCCCGAGCCCGTCTCCTCTGGCCTTGGCGGCACTTTTCGCGCTGTGTTTCCGCTGTCCCGGTGGGCGCAATAACGGCACTGGCTGGTCCCGCCCATGCCCCTGGTCCCGTTAGCCCGATGTGGCAGCACGGCGGATCTGCCGCGGCTGTTGGCGGGGAGCACGGCCAGCGGCACAGAACGGGGTTCGTCCGGCCAGAGCGGCTCGGACGAGGCCGCAGCCTGGGTGTGCCCAGGGGCCCGGCGAGGGCTGCCCCAGACCGCCGCGGCCTCCAGAAGAAAGAAGGCGCCGCGCTGTCCTGTGCAATACCCGTTTAATAAACGCATCCTTGTAACCGTAGCACAGCAGCGGCTCTCGGGTCATTTCAATCGTGTTTGTTAGCAAGTGAAAATCAAGAATGAAAAGTATATATGTTTAAATTGTCATACAGATAACTAGCGTTTTAGCCCTTCCTGCCAAAGTCTTCTGCCAGTAATAATCCTGTCTGTTTCAGAAGTTATGTATCCACAATCATAACTGGGACTGAAGTAGAAGCCGTCAGCTAGCAAGTACAGCAGGAGACAATAGCAGCTGCGTAAACTAGTCTTGCAAGGTTGTTCTGATTAAAGAAGGCAAAAATTTGGGATATCAGATCTTGATCTGAGACAAAAACAAAAAAAAATTGCACTCATTGAGCATTCTCCCTCTCAAACCAGAGTTTTGCAGTGGAATTGCAATACAAGGTGTCTTTGTGGACTTGCACAAACCTAAATACCTGTAAAAACCAATCCTGTTGTCTTTCAAGACTCCAAGTAAAAATCTGCTCAGCTTTGGTTTTCCTGTTTCAGGCAATTGTAACCAAATATAAATTGTAACAGTTTCCATTTCTCGATTTTTATGCTGCTTTGTACCTTGTTCTGCCTAGTCTTTGCTCTCATTTTCATTGTTTTAGAAATAAAGTTGACCAAGAACTGGAACAAGATGGCATCTGTGTTCCAAAATGTGAAAGCAACAGTGGCGTGGCGGAAACACCGGCTCCTAAATGACCTCAATGAGAATGAGAGCCCTGTACCTGACAAATTCAAGAGAAGGACCTCTCTCAGTTCTCTCAATACCATTCACATGTCTTTAAGGAAACGGGTACCACTAAAGCGAGTCGAGCTGAATTTTGACAAAACACCAACTAGGGAAAGTCTGGAACCAAGGCAGAGATGCCGAACTCTTCAGACAATTAAAAGAACAGCAAAATATGCTTTTGGAACCATGTCCCAGGTATTTTGTCTTTGCAGTAGAACATAGATTTTGCTTCAATTCAGTACTAAGATTTCTGAATTCTGTACTGAGTGCTTTATTCTAGAGAGTTCATTCCCACACACTTGCACACCTTAGTACTTGTCTCATAGCTACTAACTTTTAAAATCTTTAATATCTGTTCTTAAAGTATAGACAGGCAAATTATGGAGCTGGCAAGACATGGAGGAAGCTGAAAACAGTTTATTTTATTTGAAATAAGAGCTTTTCCCCTACTGTATTTAATCATATATGGCAGAGCAGCCTTTACACAGAGGAAATTGGGTAGAGATTGACATCATTTGCAAATAATTGTTACCAAGAAAAGTGCACACTTTGGGGTTTTTTTCCTTTTACTTATTCTCCTGTACCCATACTATTTACTAGCATGTTCTCTATTATAGTTAATCTAAATTTAGACTGACAAAACCTGCTACAACATAGCAGGGTATGAGATTCAAGCTTGCACTTCCCTTTCTTAGAGACCTCAGGTTTTTAAATACATGAGTTCTCTGTTGGGGAGCTTGAATTTTTTTAGCATAAGAGCATCAAGAGCTTTGTTCCAATGCCTGCTCTGAAGTCCTTGATGAATGTCAAGAGTTAGGGAAGGAAGAGACTCCCTATGCAAATGAGTACAGAGGTTGAGATGCATTCATGTTAGTTGAAACCTGATATGAAAATGGAGACTAGTAACTCAGCCCAAATATTCCTAGTCCTCCTGGTTCTAAACTCACAGCTAATTGAGTTAATTTAGCCTAACATGTCTAATGCTTCTTTCAGAAAATACAGAAGTCTTGCCAAAGCCCAGTAGGCTCAGTGGTGACCTTTCCAGTCGAGTCGATCAGCAGAAGCTGTGCGACCAGTTCTACCAAAAAAAGAACTGCTACACCTCAAACACCTTGCTGTAATACTTCAGCAGCCAGTTCCAAAGGCACTCCAAGGTCCAGCAAAAGGGCCTTGCTTGGGCCAACAAAGGTATCAGAACATAGAGAATGGAGGGATTTCTCATCCTGGCTTGGTAAAAATGCTGTCTCTCTCCGGAGATCCAGAAGAGCAGCGGCACTGAAGAGCCCTTATTCATCTCCTGCCCCTTCCAGCAGAAAGATGTAAGTCACATTATTTTGTAAACTTTTTTTTTTAAATTTTAATTTTTAAAAAAATGTATTACTCTGATTAGAGTATCTGATAAAGTGAAAGGCAAGGTATTAAGTTTTCTGTCCTATTCCCCTGAAGGTGTGTGCTGCTTGAATAATTAAGAAAGTAGTTCCAGCTCCCTGTATAGATAGGGATTGAGCTATGTGTAAAGCTGAAACATAAAAAGTAATTTTTTCTTAGAGACATACTTGAGTTCTTTGCTGGTGCCTTTTTGGTAAAGGAAAATGCTCTGTATCTCACTCTGATTTAATTGTAACTTTTCCAAAGCTGCTATTTGTATGCCAAAGATACCAGGAATAGCTTTGTTTATGCTGAGTTCTTTATAGAATGTGGAGAAATTCCTATCTCAAAGAGGAAACACAAATTAGATCAAGGGTTGTGAGTTAGGGAAATACTTAATAATGTGCAGACATGTTTTTCTTTTGGTCGAAGCCACAAGAAAAGGTAAAGCTAGGAGTTGAATCCAAGCCTTGTGAATCTGAATTTTGTGTCTGAGTTGGAAGATAGCTGTTTGGGGAATAAATGAAGACATGAAGCTGTTGGCTAATGGAATTAAGAGCATAATTTCCACCACCCTAAACTTCTCTGGGTAAAGTCTAGTGGTACTGCAGGGATGGAGGCTTGAATACTGTCACCTAGTTAGCTTGTCCTGTTTGATCTGTAGCAATGACCATTCTATTTGCAGAGAGTTTGACTGGGAGTTGGAACTGGTCTCTTCAGGGATTTGCCAATTGAAGCGTATCTCCCAAGCATTTGATGATGCCATTGTGAAAGAGGAGAGGTAAATACTGCTAAGTATCCCTCAACTTTACCTGCCACCTGAACACAGCCAATTGCAGTCCCTGTAACTCAGGATTAGGAATAGTTGCAGAACTTTTTCAGTTGTAATGTAGTATATCCATTTTTTCTTAAAGATACTTGGGAAGATTAAATTTGCAGTTGGATTTGCAGCTTCTAAAACCTGCTAAATGCTCTACTTGTCTTCAGTTTCCTTGTTGTGGAAGTCAGATTTTTATCAGAAAGAGCCTACCTTTGACCTTGTGTGAGAACAGTACTTCCCTGACTCTTGTCTAAAAGAGGTGTCAATCCAGGCTGGGGGAGGAGGTGGGAAAATTCCAGTGTACTGGCACAGTCACTGATGTCTGCACATCTATTTAAAAAATCCTTTTATTAGGTAGCATTATGCTAACAAGCAGTCCATGGGCACCCGGATGAAGAAGCCTCTTACAAAACACCTTGGTTAATCCACAAGGTGGTAGGCTGCTGTATTTGTGAAGGTTATGTCATTCTGAATTAGACAATTAAGAAAGTAAAAACTAAGGGTCAGAAATCTTGTCACAGGGTGATTCCCTAAACTTCTTCCTCTCTTAGAGCATGTAAAGTATTCAATAACTAAATGTCATGTACCTCAAATTCTCTAGAGAGAGTTTAGCATCAAGTCCTTTACCTACAAAGAGGTAATGGCTTAACATCCCAGATAATTGCAAAAATTTGTACCAATGGGACCATGTCTAGATAACTATAGGTTAAAACTTGTATCAAGTTAATTTTATCATATCCACTGAAAGTTCACTAAATCTCACTCCTAATATTCTCCCATCTGCTAGTGATATGACAGTTTCTCTCATTCGTAACTGAAGATAGTAGCAACCAGGTAAAGTAGTTGTTCACTTACCTCGGCTATGCCTGCATGCATCTGTGGGGAGAAAACCTGCTGTTTATAGAGAGAAAGGCTTATTATCTCAGGCTACTTTAAGGCAGTACTATGTAGAACCACATGGTTCTTCCTTCATATTCACTGTGGCCATCTCTGCTACAGCAGATCATTGTGCAGTTGTAAAACTTCACCTCTAAATTGTGGATTAGTGAGTCCTTATGGGTTCTCAATGAACCTCCTATGCAAACATCAGTTTTTCTCACTCCAGACCAAAAAATGACTGGTACTAATCTTTTTGTCACTGAAGTTCAGTTCTCACTGGTTACTAATGATGACAAAGCATGAGAGAACCAGCCGTTATCCTGAGCTATCTGATTTTACAGCCTTTCTTTTCCATCCCTCAAAATTTCATAGCAGTTGAGTCTATGCTATCACAATTAACAGCAGCTCGTAACTTATACCCAAGTGGATGTGACATAAATATCTTCACCTGTTATGTTGGAGGTATTCTTTTTGTTAGAGGGAAAGGTACATCCTGAATACTATGTCCTATTTTAGCAACGAAAATAGGTGCATGACACTTTGTTGTAACTTTTCAAGAAAAATGAGAGCAGTTTCAAATGCTGGACTGATGGTTTCAGCAGTGATCTGTACTGCTTCCACAATTTGGTCCAGTACCCCTGCATGTGTAGATGCATACAATGTGCTGTTAATGCCTAGTTTCCTACTGGAATAATTGTGAAATGAACTGTTTTGGAGGTCCCTTTAGTCTTGCATGAGACTTTCTGTTCTGGTATCCAATTGCCATAAGCTTTAATGCTAGTGCCTCTTTTTCATTTTTTTCATGATGAAGCAAACCTTGATCTCAAATGATTGTTTCCAACTCAAAGTATTGTTCAGTGTTTTGCATTTTAATGAATTAGATTATATCACAAGAAATGCTCCTGTTGCTAGTTAAAATATTGCAGTACTTGCGTACTTGCCTTTTACATTCACTGAAGATAACAAAGTATGTTATTGCTAGTGTCAAGAACAGTTACACAGTGAAAGTGTACCAGACTTCCTTTTTCCCATCTGTTTTCCAGCAATTTTTGTGACAACCAGTTGATTAACTCTACTGACTTTATGCTGCTAATAGTAGTCCTGTTGTTCTTCTGCAGGCAACAAGCAATATCAAACTACTACTATCTAATGGCACAAAACTCACAGTCTGTACATCAATCCCTGAAACCGCCTCAAGCTATCAGAAGACAAGCAAAGAAATGCCATCAAGCACTTGGTACCTAGAGAGAGATGGTTGTAACTATTTTTTCATGTTTCCAAGTTTATGAGCACGTATATAAGGGAGAGGTCTGAATAGCACCTGAAAGGCTACACTCTATACACTTAAATAAGCCGTTACACTTTTTTTTTTTTTTTTTTTTTTTTAAATGAAACAGCTCAGGACTTCCCTTGCTTTCTCTTTTCAAGTAAAGAGAGAATCAAAATAGTACCAACCACAGTATATTATCCCTGCTGAGTTGAGGGGTCCGTCTTGAAAGTTACTCTCATGAGGCAGTAACTTAGAAACTGATGCTGAACTGGCCAGTAAGAATGGCCAAAGCAAGGGCTAATGACAGACTTAAGAAAGGTAATCCTAGGTAAGAGTAGTGCTTAAATTGGTATCCAGCAGCGACGAAATTTAGCACAAATACTTTCCACATGAAAAAGACTGGTCTATTATTCTGAAAGCCTAACTTCTTGGTTTTGGTTTTTTTTTTGTTACTAGCAAACTAAAGTTATTCATCATTTACCTGAAAGTTACTAAAACAGTTGTGTCTTTGAGTTCTAAGCAAAACTGCCATTCCAAAGCAACAGGATTCTGTGCAGTCACTCATGCCACAAGAACAGAGCCATTTTAGGACACTTACTTCATGGCCTTAAGGGTTAGCCTAACTAATCCTATTTTAGGAGTTTGGCTCCAGACAAATCAGAGCAACTTTGTCATTTCTTACTGATGCTTTAGATAGCATCTTGGCAGTTGAGTTAAACATTGCTTTTGTGCATCTGTCTTTTAGTCATACATGGAAATTTGTTACTACAATTAATGTAATCTCTTGCAACTACTGTTATTAGCTAATATCACAGTGGAAGTAGTTTGATTATGTATCCTTAGCATTTGATACCTGTATTTTTCTTCTAATTAAAAAAATTAGCATTCATTTGACAAGCCTTTTTTGGTAGGTAGTTCAGTATAATAAAGTTTAGTCTTTCATATGAAAGCCAAGATTTGTCAAGTTTTTAGAGTTCAACAGCACGGTTGTTTTCCATGGTAAGCTTTGTGCAGGCTTCCCCAATTATATTCACTCTAAAATGAACTTTCAAACAGAAGACTGATTTGGGAAATTTTGCTCTACTTGATAATTTCTAAAATGTGCATGTGACCTAGTAGTTCCAGTGTTACTAAAATTTTAATGTTATCAGGTATAAATATGAAAATCATTAAATTATAATTTATATATAAGTATTGATTTTTAAACTTGCTCACAATTTTTCTTTTCTTTCTTGTCAAATGAACCCATTTTAAAACATTGAAAGAGGCCTGGAAATAATAATATATAATGAGGAAATAATAAAAATAATGAGGCCTGGAAACATGAAAGCAACCCTTCCAGCCCGAAGACTTCTACACTTTCAGATGACTGAGAATTTTAGCTTGTGTTATTTCTTGACATAGTGTTTCTGTGTGTTTTGTGGGTTTTCAAATAACTTTTCTATATGGAAGTATAGAAAAGTATAGTTTCTCCAAGTTGTTCTTTGTATGTCCTGAAACTACTTCTATAAAGCTTTCACAAAGATGTTGACTTATTAGTGAAATGCCTTCTTCTATGACTTTTGAAAAGGAAGAAGGGTTGGAGGTTTTTGAAAAGTTGACCTCAAATCTAGGTACTATTTCAGACAAATCAAACAGCCTATATTTATAATGTTTTCACCAGCTACTCAGACATGTACAATCATGATCCAATATTTATCAAATTGCTGGTAAGAAAAATCAGTGACACTGTTTGTTTAAAGGCAAGGAAGGTTTTATTTAAGTGGCTAATCTGTTTCAAGATTTTAAAAACCAGCTCACATCAAAATCTATAGCAGTTGTAGAAATCTTACTCCTTATTTCATATTAAGAAATTAATTATTGTACATTTTTGAATCTTTACAAGGCAGCCATAAGAAATATAAACATTTGTCACCAGATAGAACCTTCTCACTGACAATATTTAAAATTATGCACTTAATAAAACTATAGACTGAAAGAACACCTAAAATTTCAAGTTTCCTTATGTGAATTCAATTGTAAGGGAACTGCCCCTTTTCACCCCCACAAATAGAAAAACAATTATGTATAAGACTTGGGGTTCTGTGAGAAGACTGCCATTCTGGGCTGTAGACCAGTCATCCAGGAGTAACACTACTTTTCAAATTTGCTATCTGTAAATCATGTTTCAATGTTGCAATCTCTAGTGTACCATCTCCCACCATGTCACAGTAAACCTGCCTCTTTCTTTTCCCCCTCCTATGTTCTATACATTCATACAAATGACAAATGAACTGTGAAATTTATCTTCCCCAAGCCCCCAAAATTCCATTCAGTTTCAAGGATAGCTTACTAAAATAGCTTATAATACATGTAGTGGGTAAACCGTAATAATCCCTGTCTGGGCTTGACCTAAAGTGAGTGAAAGAGACAACACATGACTTCAATTCCAGTGTCCATGCACAGGATTCTAGCTGTTCCAAGCCTTATTTCTGAGAAACAGGTATTTTCATCCAGAAAAATGTGTTATTACTTTCATTTTTTTTTTTTTTTTTGGGGGGGTGGGGGTTCTGAATTTAGGCTCATCTATATGAACGTATAGTTACCTTGTGTGACTAAACACAATGGAAGTCTTAATTACCTTGACAAAATGAAATTTCTGATTAAGCTTTGAACACAAACCATGAGGAACCACTGCTCTTAGAGAAGCTGAAAAGGTAGGCTGGAAGGTTTTGTGTGTATAGCACTTCTGTCATGTACCAGCTCCAGATGAGGGTGAAAGTGCCACTTTCTCCCCTACATGCTCAACATGAACAATTCAATGCAGAGATTCTGAGTTCAGATGCCACACGTCAATCTCTAATCAGAAAAATCATGAAATTGTGGTACATAATCCTCATCTTTCCATTATCAAAATAATGAGTTTACTAAAAAGATACCCATGCTCCAATCATCTAGTCCTATGACAATGTACTCACCTTTCTGCAGCCTAGATGGCAAGAGGGAAAAAAAACTGAGGAAAATCCTACTTGTTCAGTAACAACTGTTGGACCTACAAATTTTAAAACGTAAAATACCTACTGGTTTCATGTATTGTTTTAAATGCTTATTAAAAAAGCTTTTAGCAAATTTAAAACAGAAATGGTATAGAAAGAAGGGAAAAAATAAATTTTCCCCTTTCTATATTTATTCCATGAAGAACATTATGATAATATAGACCTAAGTATTGAGGATTTGTTAAATACACGCATTAGTAGTGTCCTGGCTAAAGAAAGACCACAATGCATAAACAGGACAACTTATCCACTAATAATGGCAAACAAAGGCTATTTTGCAGAATACTGGGGCTTCTGAAAAAATGTCATTGTCCTGGATAGACCCAGGTGTGTATTTTTTTTCCCCTCTAGTTTACTGATAGTTGCACTTCTACATAACCAGTGAAAGTTTTAGCTGTTTGGAAATGACTTCCCTAGATATAGAGGAAAAAGTGAAGTAATCTGTCTAAATTAAGACTAGTTTAATGTAAACAAATAAAAAGGACAGTTCTCATGAACCCCAATGAATAAGAATTACCACAACTTTGTCATTTTTACACCTAACAGAATTTTATGCTGAATAGATACAAACCATGCCACAAAACTAAACAGGAATACTTTGGTCAAGCAAAAATCTATACCAAGAGCACTAGTGTATGCAAATAAAAATGTTACTCAAAATAAGCAGATTTGGCTTAACATCACTATTCAATTCTGCAATCTATACAATGATATCTTGTTCAAAACCTACCTAGCTAGAAAACAAAATTGAACAGACAGCCACTGTTGCTGTGTTTGAGTTGGTTTTGTTCTTCTTTTTTTTTAATGTGTATCGATTACAAATTTGCTGTGAAAGCAGAACCAAAACTTAAGTGTCTTCCAGTAGTTATACACACACACACAGACAAAACCAAAGCACCACAGTTGTGAACGTGTGTTTTCACAATATCTCAAATAACTCTACCACTGCTATTAATCACAGCCATTTTTTACAGTAATTGAAAATGGATCCATATCAACAGGTCAAAGAAGTAAATGCTTCCAACTGTGGCATACTTGTACTGTACTCTTAGCACCCACTGAACTAAAATTTTGTGGTTTACAATTTCATTTATGCTTCCTCCATTCAGCATGTTAAAAGAATGTGCTTTTCTGTTACACACGGGAGGCACTAAACAACTGATGGTGCTAATGTAACAAGTGATGAGTCTAATGTATGTTCTGTGGGCACACCCACCTGACTTCTCTGTCCCTCTCCCTTCAGTGTATGCTAAAACACTTTCATAGTCCATATAGTTTAAGTGCTGACTGCACAAAAACTGCAGCAATGAGGACTTGGAATCAAGAATAAGATGACTGTAGGATCAAACTTACCCTCAGTGAATGGCTTCTTAGGGGACTGATCTTCCATGAAAATACAAGTAGAACTGAAATCCTATTGCAAACTGAATGTCTGTAAATGACTGGATGCAGTTTCATGTGGACAAAGTACGTAACTAAAAAGCCTGTGTCACTATTTTGCCAAAGTGCACTGCTGGAGTGTGGGATCACAAGATAATCCATTCTAGCCATGAGTAATCAGCAGTGCTGGAATTATGCAAATGCCATATAAGCTCTCATACATTGTATGAAAACAAAGTTAAGGAGCATATTTTCAGCTTGATTTTAATACCATGTGTAGAAACGTTGAAATTGTTACCACACTAAATTATACACATGCACGCACACTTGTTTTTACTGCTATTAGGTCCTAATATTCTTAAGGGAAGCCAGCACAGTAACTACTGTAAAGGTGACCCAGCTATTAACAGAAATACATAAAATCTGAGTCTTCATCACATGGAACCCTGTAAAATGACATTATGTCTCCAAGAGTAAAAGACAGCCCTTTATAACCTAGGAGATTTTTCTAACCTTGTACTCAGACACTATTTCCTTCAATTCAGTCACACAGAATTACACACAGATCACTCTTTTGAAAGGAAGTAGACCTTTCTACCACAGCAACCGAAAACAAAAAAATAGGTTTTCAAGTCTCTTGGGTGATAGAGGTAGATGGCTAAAACAACAGTAGCTTTGTACAGGAATAGCAATTATAGTCAAGAGACATGCTAAACAACATCCAATTATTAAAAAGAACTTTTTGATCAGTCAATATTTTAGATGTCTCATCAGACTTAAAATTTTCCTAGTAAGTTCCTCCCTCACAAGCCTTGGATTCCCATGCCTATTTAAAACTAACAAGCAGGAGTGTGCTAACAGTAAATTCACTAGAAGGAGATGGATGCTGGTGCACCCATGCAACTTCATCATAGTGCAAAGCAGAGAAAAAATGGACTATGTGACTAGAATGAATACATGCAGTGGGCTGAGACAGAACATGGAAAAATTCCTCCAACTTCATGGGTTCAAAACTATGACACTACTGGGAAAGCATTTGTAAATGTTAAGAGTGTTTCAATGTAGTTTGCAAGCTATCTTTCATTTAGCTTTTGTAGCAACAGAGCACAAAACCCTAGCCCCTTGTAATGTATTTACCTGCCCCCAAAGAATGTTTGCTACCAAAAGTTTTACATCTTCCCTTGATCTTCAACAGAGATTACCCCTTACCTTAAAGGAAGCATTAAGAAAAAAGCCCCAAAACAACCAGCTACTGATATGCCAGAGATATTTCAGGAAGTTTGAAATAGGTAACTGACAATCTTGCCAAGTAATGTCTGAAAATATAAATCAAACATCTCCATTTATAAGCTATATTGCTGCATCCTAAGGCACTCCTTAAGAGCTACACTCCTATGCCCTTCCAAAAGCCCACTGAAACTTCATAGTTAACAGAATGTACACACTTTCTTTACTTCTGCACTATCTTAGTTTTCCATTGGATTTCTTGTTTTACATGTTAACTTTCAAAATCATTACCTAACTTGGTGAGACACCTTGTCTGGTCTAGCAAAACCTGAAAGGGGGATGGAGAGGCATAACACCCTCTCCACCCCAATTCCCTGAAATAAAAAACAAACAACAAACCTGAAAAAGGAATGTTCTTTTGACTTCAAGCTTTCTCAGTGTCAATAGTATGTTTTTAACTCTAAAAAACAGGGGTTTTACGTGCACTTGTAACATCATTGCAGATTTTAAAACATGCGTCAGTTCAGTCTTTAAATTCTCTTGATGAATTTCCATGGAAGTATCTGCATGAAGAATCTGCAAACTGCTATTATGTTAAAGTAACTATAATGCTCTAGAAATATTACTACTTAGGGAAAACGTCACACATTTTACTTCTAGTAAGTGCATTGAGAGATCAGTGAGAAATTTAAATCAGTAGAGAAATGTCTATGTGGCACCTGTATTTTCGCATATCCACTCTTTGAAGCTCAAATGCTATAATTCTGAATGCTACAGATTGTCTTAATGCAGCAGTTGCCATGAAGCATGAGAAGGTAAACAATTTATCAATTTACTTAATTATTTTTTTCCCTCCAGTGTAAATATTCTAGTTTGAATAATTAAAAAAGCAATTGCTCTGAAGTTTGCAGATCCCTTAGTGAAATGGTTCCTTTTAGCTTGCCCTCTTAGGATCTGACTCTCAGACTGAGATCATCACAGTCACCTTCTTTGGAGTAGTCCACACATTTTTGCACAGTCATCAAGTTCCACAAACAATGTGATCTTTGTACAGTTGCACACTACTTTGGTTACAACACCACTAACTGTGTTCAACCTGTGGCTGACACATTTATTTTTAACATGAAGTTTTTATGTTTGGTTCACAAGTTCTCATTTATTTGTCCAGCGCCTCACACAAACGTGAGTGCCCATGTTGGAGTCTGTTGACCAACACAAGGCTGAAAGGAAACCTTGGGTTTAAAGGCACCCAGAAAGCATCTTCTTGCAGAAGTCCTAACCACCTGCTATTGTAGCTCCCACTGCTGCTTCCCTTTATCACTTTTATTAGAAAGTGAAGTGGAAACAGACATGACTACTTAATGTTTAAAGTGTAAACTGCCTCTAACTTACAGGACCCACCCTTGATGCTGTTTTGGGTGCAGCTAATTAGCTGATACCACAATCCTTCTGAGCAAAATCAGTATCTTTTCCTCTTATTGCACATATTATATCCATTCCCAAAAATAACCTGTTGCTATGGATAAACTTGTGGTAGTTTTAGATTGTTTTAAACTTCCCCAATAAACATGATAAGAGGAAGAGACTGGAAGTGCTCCAGTTGGTGTAACAAGGCAGATTTCAGAACAGGGAAGACTCCAAGGTACAAATTCCTGTCCACTTCTCTTAATTTAGAGCTGCCTAAATACTATCTTTCAGGCATGCCTACAAGTTTTATGGGGTGCATCCAAGATCGACATTCCCAGTCCTCCTAGGGAATAGATTCAAATTTGTGAACTCCACCTCGAACCCAAGCAATGGAAGGCAAATGCCTGTCATGGTCTTTGTCTGATTCAGGCTGGCTCTGAGCACGCTCTGGCTTGGGGTTTAAAGAGGGCGGGTCAGGTTGCTGTACAGACATAGTCCTGCGGAGGTGGTTTCTCTTGCGCAAAAACTCAGGTTGCGAGTGGAGGCCAAAGCTGCCTTTTCTCAAGATCATCCGAGAGTTGTTCTTTTTGGGTCGTGAATGGAGACTGAACTCCAGCGAGGCCAAGTGGGCTGCATAACCTTCACTGAGGAACTGAAATAGGAAGAAAAGAAGGGAGTGACAAATTACTCCTGCCTTGACCTATGAATGCTATTAGGTATTAAGTTTTCATCACTGACATCCCAGTTAGATACCTACAAAATACTAATATTCCTCTCCCCTCAGGTTTTTTTTTCAAGTGACCCATTTCATTCTGTCATTCAGAAATATGCAATGCATGCACTTGTAGATACAGCTTGCAACCACTTGATTCTCTTTACTATTCGCCCTTCCAGAAAATGTCTCATTTGTAACCCCAACTACCTTTCTTTGAAATACTGTTGCTGCTTTTTGTATTTGTGAGTTTGCACATGCATTCATGTGCATGCATTGCCTTGTCTTTCCTAGGACTTCCTGACTGAATAGCAAGAATTACTTACTTGGCACTGTGCCTGGTATTTCTTTGTGGATCGTCCAACTATGTAGATCTGAGATGGCGACAGAGCCAAGACACTGTACACAGAAATATCCTTCATGGAACCGTATGCGGCACAGATTTTGATGTGGCACTGAAACAAACATTACTTCCAAAGTGAACGCACTATTGAACACCGTGCAACTACAAGGTTGGTGCTTGATTTGCAGTAAAGCAGCATATGAGTTCCCTGTTAACAATTTCAATCTGTAAACCACAGAAAGCTAAATTGATCTGCCTGCATGTGAGCAAGAACTACAGCTATGCACACAGGAAAGAACAAGCAGTTCATTTACTGATTTGTCATGATTGGAGGTCCCTTTGGATGTTTCATCAGCTTTCCCTGCTCTTTAAAAAGTGAGAAAAGAAGTGAGGAATGGCAAAAAGACTTTGTGATGTTCAATTAGACTTACTGTTCAGATAGAAGGGAGAACTCTACTGAATTGCATTCCCTGAAAAGATGTTTTGAGACTATAAATAGGTTTCTAGTACCTCTTGCATGAGATTCCGGAGAAAAATGGTCTTTTGTCGCAGTGGGTCATGAACGAGTCCATCTGAGAAGAAGATCATCCCTTGTGGGAAATTGTGTTGGGACAACCACGAAACTACACGCTGTTTCTGCATATCTGGGCGGCCAGTGATGTAGATAATCAGGTATCCCAGGTCCTGCCAATGCCTGTCAGAAGAAGCAGTTAAATTATATAAGTGCAGAAAGAGAAACAATACTCACAGGTCAGGTCAGCATCTTTTCTCAGACAAGTTAGACGTTAGATGATATCCTTCAACAAGTGAAAAGCAGCATGCCTAAGTATCTGCTCCAATCAAGAAACTAAGTAATACTGTCTACATTTCGGGGGAGAAGGAGAAAAGCAAGAGACATTCTTATACAAAATATTATCTAAACTATGAGAGCCATTCAAAAATATACTTAGAATAAACCTTGAAACACATCAGGTATTGCTACTTTTGAAATCTTTAATGAGATTTCCTGCCATGTTAGCTATAAGGAATGGAAACCCTTGAAAACTGACATTTCTACATTCTCATGCAAGTTCCAAAATGAGAACTGCCTTTTCCCATCCAGTGCAACATTCAGACTTGCAAGAATTAATTAAAAGGCCTTTTAATTTTTGTTGCAAAAAACATTCTAGCATTCCTGACACCTTAAGTACAAATATATCCTTATTTGAAATTAGTGAAACACAAAATACACATGGAATCATTATTAACTCACTGCACACACTTCAAGATCATATTCCCAAGAAATAACTTTTTATGTCCAGGCAATTTAAACTACAAATTTCAATGTAATCCACAGCATTCTAATATTACTCTGAAATTCAGGCAGATGTGCTGTGCAAGAAAATATAGAAATGTATCTGCAGAGAATCTTGGCCCTTAGAAAACTGCTGCCTGTTTAGTATAACAACCCTTTTCCTTCCTACTGTGTTCAAGCAGAAAGCCAGAGATTTGAAGTGTTCAAACCTCATTTACCTGACAACATCAACGGCCCCCGCTCGGACTTTGGGGTCACTTCCCATAATTGAAACACTTGCTGCAAAGGAACCATCAATGCTGAACACAACACATTCCATTCCTCGGGGCAATACAGTCAGGTAACTTGCTGCACTGCTCTGGTCCCCTCTGCAGAGTCAACACAATAAATTAATTTAAAAAGCAAAATGTCAGAAAGTATTTTCTGCATGTTTTAGTTAAGATTTGAAATTAGATATTTCTAGACCTACAGCTTTGACCTCACTGTCAAATATGGCTTCTGATTTCAGTCTTATGTGGGACAATCAAAACTTATACTTTTAGGAAATAGTTTACCAAAGAGAAATTTGGAAGCCGATCTTAATAAGAAATCATGTGCATACAAATAACCAAAAGAATTAGGAAAAAAACCCGCAAATCAGCTTGAAGTACTCTAACTACTACTCAAACTTTCTCCATAAGCTTAACAGTTGGTAATATAGACATTAGCCACCCTCTATTCTTGCAAATATTCCCCCTTGTAATGGGAATGCCAGTTGGGAGAAGTAAAAAACCAAAAAAACAAAGGCAACAAACAATCAAAACCAAACAACCAACCAAAAACCAATGCAGTCATACATCTCTCTTGTCATGGAAGGACATGTGAAAACCATTTCCTCATGATGTATTTTCCCCAGGACAAGTGAATGTTAAAAAATAGGTAAATGACAAGGAAATCCAAAGCTCTTCTCATCCCACCACCCCATGTTCCCTAAAACCTGTAATCTAAAGGTCTGGTGATGAAGATTCCTACAATATGTGCTCACAGCCTAATGAACAAAGACAGGACAATTTATTTTCTTCCTCTTTGAAAATTACTCCTGCACTCTAAAGCTTCTTTTTTGAATATAATTTTATTTGTGTTTCAGTACCTGTTTTCTTGAATTGATTGCCTTTTTTATTAAACTGAGGTAAAACATTTTCTCCTTCTCATGTTGCACTACATAGGATTGTAAGCTGACTTTGGACTTTGTTAACTGGTGGATAACAACATGTTCTATTTCAGCTAAATTCTCCCAGGCAGGGATTCAAATGTAGTTTTTACTCAGTTTTGAAGTTCCTGATCGCCACAACCCATCACAGCTTTAGTTCCAGCTTGCAGTTATTACCTGACCACCATTTTGATGGGATACACACCAACTCTCAGTCTCTTCTGTTCAGGTATATTGTAGGATATTCGTCCACTGCTGTTGGATATCTCTGTGTCAAAATACACCCACCTACCCGAAGATGGCTCAGTCATTATGAAGATATCCACCTGCAAAACCAATGAAACAGTAATCTAGTGTGATAGTCAACAAAACACCCACTGTGTGCAAGGCCTGCCAGGTATCTCCAACCATGGCTGGTAGAAAAAGCTTACATAGAAGTTTGAAGGAACTTCATGACTCAGTAAGAACTTCAAAGAGAGTTCTCTCAATAAGCAAATGCTTTCTAACATACAAGAGATTATTGCCTTCATAATTTATTGTCTTTGTAATTTAAAGCCCTGATCTTAGCAGTGCATGTGTCAAGTATAGAGGTCAGAAATTTGGGAGGAGCCCTAAACTAGGAAAAAGATAGTTTTATCTTGCATGGCTATATTACCTTTTCACACACTAAACCTACAAAAAAACCCCTGCATCTGGTTGTTGACACAAAATCTTCCTCAAATCATAGCCTCGCCTACAACCAAAACACTTCAAATTATCAAAAGATTTCATCAATATGGTTTACTTCAACTGAAATATTTAATCAAAATTAACATAAAGGATATTAAATAATGTGATAGATCTGAAACAGGCCAAGTGAAGCCTCCATGCTTCAGTTTTGCCCTCAGCTCAGCACCATTGCTCTCTTAATTTGCACAGAAACTCCTACAATCTCAGTGAATATGAAAAACGTGTTCACTTGATGCTTGGCTCTATTAGCTGCATGCCTGGTTTCTGCAGGCAGCTTTAGGAATCACCGTTTTAATTGTGTCACATTATTACTATTTTCTAAAACTAATCTTTACTTGCCCATGAGTAAGATACAGCAGCCACCTAGCTTCTAGAATGCCTATTCTTTTATCTGGTTGTTTTACCTGGATAGGATGATACGTGGCTTTATTTTAGTGCTTTGTCAACTACTATAAAATTATTTTTCCTTCTTCCTCAGAAAGTTGTCTCCAGTAGGCGGTACAGCTGGATGGCAGGTTCAGAAATCACTGCACAGCACACTCACCACCAGCCAAAGGAGATAGCCACAATCAGGTAAGAGAGATGAGAGCTCAGAAAAAGGTCAGCTATCAGGAAAGCCCACTTTATAGCATATTTCTGCTTCAGTAGTAGGCAGCTAGTGACATTTCCCCTCACTGTAAGGCTTCCTCTGACACTGTACATGTGTGCTACATTCAACAACTGTTTCAAGTAAAACTAAGAAAATGGATTACTCAGACTTCACCTTTTCACCTGTTAAAGCCACCATGTCCAGAGGTCCATACATAAAGCGCCCAACTAGTACCTGAGGACCATCTTCTGCTGCAATGACATCATTAGCTCGGTGATTAGCAGTCACATTCTGAAATAAGAGCAGAGGATGGGAAGGGTACTGTTTGCTTTTGTCACAAGGCTGCTGTCTCTATTTTGTGATGAACAGTGAGAGAGAAACACAGTTCTGGACAGTATGTCTGAGGTACATGAAGTACACTGCATTCCCATTTCACCTTGAGCCTGATTTCCACTAATGGTGGATTCCTGAATAAACCAGAGAGAGTGCACAAGACGACCAAATAAGGGAGAACATTTGAGGTCAAGCCAATTCTTTGTCACTTCAAGGGGTGCCACAGAGCCACATCATTATGTGCAGGGCACATGCATTTTAACTGACATTATTAATTGACTTAGCACCTGAAGAAAGTAGGAAATATTTTTGCTTGGCTTATGGATTTCTCTAGCATAAAAGAAACCTCTCTGCATAATGGAAACTTAAGGCCTGTCTGTTATTTCAAGAAAGAAATATACTTTCTCCCAACATGAAGTGATAAACCAAGATGAAATTGCCCATATTCCCTAACCATTAATCTGCCTGCTTCTGGATTAAGTTATCAGTTTTCAGCTCTTTAGTGATATTCAGTTACATAAACTCTTACTTGGAGAGATCAAACTCCATTTAAATTTCTGCCAAACACATGTTCCATAGCAGCCATATATATTTGGAGTTAAACTTACCCTCAATTTGACATGTGTCCTTTTGCGTAGCCATTTTTCTCGTGGATTTGATGGACTTAGTGTTTCTGGATCCAGGTTGTCATTTTCCTTGAAATTCACATTTTCATACCTCATCACCTGAAATTATATCAATATTTTAATAAATAGTGTGAGGCCTGGGAAGTCCTGGTACTTGGCAAAGAAAGAGAAATTACACCGCTGCCCCGGTTGAGTGACACTGCAGAGCTAAAAACACAATGGAAGTTGACAGGTAAAGCCATATGTTCACAAAAACTGCACAGACAAAGAAACTGCTT